TGCTAAGCAAAACATTTCTGCTAAACTGTTAAGCAGCGCCATAAAATTGGGCCCAGATCCCAAGAGTCAAGGTCTTGTCCGGAACAAAACAACTGTCCTGGATTCCTGGGCAGCTTTCGTAGCAGGTCAGGTCACACTAAATAAAAAAAATCCACAAACGGGAAAATAAAATCTGATTTGTTTTCTTGGCAATCAGAACAGGCAGGCCAGATGAACATTGACACTGACCAGGTTATCTAAACGAAACAAATTGGCGATTTTGATAAGAACACTTGCAAACAATGGGTCTAAAAGCATCAGCTGTTCCTTTGTCATTCACAATGCAAAGGAAAACCTCATTTAGATTTTTTTTTCTTTTAAAAGGAGACTTTGCTGGACATTAAAATGATATTAACACGAAAATGCAAATTGTGCGAATTTAGACATTAGCTTAGCGAAATGGGTTACCAGTCAAAATGCCACGTTGCTGTTAACTGGTACTCTGCCAATTTTCACTTAGTGTAAAATATTGCTAAGCAATATTGTCTGCTCAACATCTGCAGGAAATTGGCAAATTAATAACAATTGTTGAATGCTGTGATGTGGGACATGTCATTTATTTTTTAACTCTTGAGAGAAGTTTCACCGGAGGCAGAGCTGTGGGTGCTATGCATCCTTGAAAGTTGAAGGAGTAAGCACGCTGTGTCCCCACATCACAGCAGTCAACAATTGTTTTGTAAAATCATGATTTACAAAAATTAAAAAGGTGGTAATGAACGTTGCTATTTACCCTTCCCGATATAGATTAAATCACCGCATTTTAATACCATGGACAACTGTCAGAATTTCTTTTTAGCAAACATTAGTTCTGATACGCAAAGGCTACTGGTTGCATTGCTCTGCACGTCGCGCGCGCCCTGCATACATACTCGATTCACACGTGCATGCAATTAAGGTAGTTTATGCAACGCAAAGTATATATATGAGGTATTTGATGCAACGCTGTGTTTATGAGGTAATTTATTAGCGTTGTGGTGTAAACATGTATTATGAGGTAAACAGTAAGTTTTTACAGACCAGACACATGGCCGTTTTAGGCCAATAAATTACAGCATCCAAAGACACGATACAACAAAAAATTTAGCAGCGCAGGTATTAAATTGCATGGCGTTTTGCACTGAGACACTGTGAATTTCATTGACAAAACTGTCACCTCTTTATAGTGTATAATTGTGCTCGAAGAGCACAATGATTATACACATATATATCTACAAAATGGGTGGGGCAATCAAGTGTGGAGTTTACAGCTTTAGTGGGGGCTTACATAAATTACCCATGTTGTATGAATATGGCATTAACCATGTCAGTGGAAAGCTATAGGCTGGCAGTGGACGGACCTTATTAGGACAATGGTGGCATTTCAGAAATTCCAGTCTCGACATCTCGTCACTTTTGTTTTCAGTAACTCTTTGGGAATTGCAACATTGACAAGGTCAGAATGAACATGATCATTGCACTTTTGAGGTCATGGGTGAAAACAATATCCAGGCATGCAACTGGGAATTATTAAGGGGGAAAAAAACGAGGAAATTCCAATTTCCAAACCTCAAAAAAAGACTTTGTACAGTGTTTTTCAATTTGTAATATGGCATTCACGAGAAGTAAAATCGTGGAAATCAGCGGATCTGAGGAAAAGTTGCATGCCTGAATATCATTTGAATTGACAACAGTGTGAATTTGAGTTCTAGAATTCACAGAAAATAGTTTTCTTTCACAGATGTGTAAATGAATGAATTTATAATTTAAAAACACGTCGCAATTTGATTCCGCGTGCTCTGAGCCATTCAGTAGGCCCTATAGCTGCTATTATGCACGTACACATAAACCTTGAAATATACACGTACAAATGTACATACATCATGTACGCTTGGCAAAAACAATTTTCAAGAAAATATTCAGTCTCAGTTGGAAATACATGTAGGCCTACTTGTTACAAAAAAATTTGCAAAAAAAAAAAATTAATGAAGAGGCCAGTCAATTTCATATTCATTGCAACCTTATATTTGCTGAAAAAAAGTTAACCTAGTCAGTATCCCTTTGGGATGTTACATGACCCAATTCAAACCAGGGTAAAAACCAGGTCTCACTAGAATAACAAGGATATGTTCACTGTGAAAACAAACAATCCAAACATCACATGCAAACACTTGCCTGATCCAAATGCACTATGCAAACACATTAATTCCTAAATGTAATGTATACATGGCTTTTTCCAGCTAAAACAATTCTTGACCCATAATTTGGATAAACTGTTACTTTCTTAGCATTTTGTCAGCAATTCTCTAAAGTGCATGAATTTAGCGGCATATTATTTGCAGCATCAAGCACTAGCTGCCCCATAAAAGTAAACTGCTTCGCCCAACCATGGAATAGTGCTATGCAATGAGCACACCAAATTTCAAGTGAGTCAATCATTGCATAATGGCAGGGGTGGGGGACCACATTCCCCCCCCCAAAAAAATGCCTCTCTCTTTGAGGATTAATTGAACATAGCGCATTAGCAGGGTTTTTTTCAGTCTGCACACCATTTGCAGTTAGTAATTCTAAAAGATGGTTATAATTTCTGAAAGAAAATCTTGACAGTCATTTTTTTTGGGGGGGGGGGGAGGTTTCACTTCACACAGAATAAATCTAGAAATTCTGCCCAGTTGTACTATTCCCTAAGCAAAGCCTCATTTTGAATTCATCACATGTGGTTTGGCTGGTAAACCACAACCAAAATCCATTCAGTCTGCACCTGTCACTGGTACATTGTGCACTTGTACATACCATAGTCCATACATGTGAATCACTAGTTTCTTTGAACAATCAATAACCACATAATTCTACACTGCCAGTCTTTTCAACATAAGAATCAAAGCCCCAATCGGATTCTCTTTATACATCTTCATTTGTGTGGTTTTCCTTCATTTGGGTGAGTCACTTAGACTTGCACAGTCCATTCACTGTTTCCAGGCAACCTTCAATCCCTTTGTTTGTCTGTCCTATAGATCTATGAATTTCAAATGGTGTGGATTGTGATTGGGCCATCTTTTTACAACAGACGCTACAAGCTTTGTGGTAATAGAAAAAGAGCAATTAATGACATAGGTAAATCTGCTTTTGTGTAAATTGAAGCACATCTGAGAATCTGATTTACAGAATTTTTAATTTCAATGTCAGTGGACTTAATCAAGTTTATGAGTCATCCTTTTGAATGGCTCGACTCCCACACATAATTGTACACATGGTCAGATGGACAAAGAAACAAGGTTACGGTGTGCTGTTCAAATTTAAAATAAAAAAATGACATGTTTAGTTATTTAAAATTAAAACTGAAAAGACAACTAAGGACAATGAGGTTTGTAACAACAAGGGCTAATTTTCTACCCAAGTACAGAATGATAAATGAAGTAATTTAGAATAGAATGTAACTCCACAGGCAATGAATTTCTAATTAAATTATTTTGTAAACTCAGTAATTTTTTTTGTGGTGGGAAGTTGGCAACAATCCAACCACGTGGTTTTCCAATTTGAATGAGAACGCTAACAAAAGAACAAAGCAAACAGCTAGCAAAGTGGCTAACAGCTAGATAACGTTTGTACACATGTCAACCAATTAACTCATTCAGTAATTATTTGTGTTAAAGTAAACTATAATGTTAAGAAAATAGCATGTGTGTAATATGCACTGTGTGCTACATGTCGTCACAATTTTCACAAAGAGACAAATTTCCCATTCCCTCAGTAGGCCTACACTAAATTTTCTTCGTCGTGAAAATTGTGACGATGTGCTTGTGACATCTTCAAAAATCATTTCTCAATGTATTGGCATTCAATATATTTGAGTAAAAGGAGTAAAAAACTTCAAAAGCAACACAATCCAATCATTAAATGTTCAGTGAAATCTCGATGATAAGTCAAACCTCAAGGGAACAGGTTCAAAATGTGACTTAAGCAGAGTTTTGAGTTAAGCAGGGTTGTATCATTGTTATACTACTGAAGTACTGAAAGGAATGGATTCTTTGTTAGACTTAACAGTTGTTTTGAGTTATCAGAGTTTGACTTATCAAAGTTCCACTGTAGTTTGTAAACCACTCAAATTGCTGCATAAAGGAATTCTGTGGACAGAGTTTCTGACTCACGACCCCACTTTTTTCTTAAAGTTTGTTCACTCCAACCTCAACAGATGTATTTCCTTTGTTCTGCAAGTCCCACAGACAGGAAGTTGCTCACAGGATTTTTTTTTGGGGGGGGGGGGGGGTTAAGGGATGTTTTATCTTTCTTTGTCTTTATCAGTCGGGGTTGAGAATGTGATTCAGCAAACGTTGTTTAAGAACCTATTTTTTGAAGCACTAGCAAGTGATTTAACAGATTTAATGAGAAACTACTGAAAATATATTGATTTTATATCAAGTCAGTACTTTTTTCCATCTTAACAATGGTTTGAAATTTGTACTTTTTTGCATCATTTTTACCAAAGGGGTGTTTCAATTTTTGGACACTGCGTTTTGAATATGTGCTTTTGGATTGATTTTTTTACTTTGCTTGCACAATTAAAAAAACATGAAAAGCGACACCCTGGTTTTCACTAATTTGCAACTTCAAATTTTAAATTTGCTGTAGAGTATTTTACTGGGAGTCCTGACCAAAAAAAAATCCTGCTCTCATTCATTTTATTTGTAAATTCCACAGTTGAGAACTTTTTCATTTACTTATGTTTTAAAACCGGTACGTACATGTACTTCATGCAAAAGCTACTGCAGCACAAACTCGAGGTCCCAAAAATTTGCTGCGAAATTCCCCAGACTTGAAATGAGTTCAAAGTTGATGTACGAAAACTTGCCATGACGTTGGAAATTTGTGTTTGCATTCACATTTGCGTTGAATATGAACTGGCCTTTAAAACAACCTTCATGAAATTGAATACAGTCCACTTAAAAGCTATTTATACCAAACAGACCAAAATAACTTGCACAAACCTTCATTGGAATGGTTGCTCTGCGTGGCCCCTCCCCCTCCCACTGTAGCTCCTCCCTTCCTCCATCCCCTCCAGTTGTTGTTGCTGACGCTCTCTGCCTCGCTGACCCATGAGCACAGGGAGTCCTCCTCGAATCGGTCGCTGTCTTCAAACGAGAACCTATCTTGTTCCTCCCAGTCATAAATGTACTCCATGTCAGACCTCAACAGAAGGCTAAATCTACGAGTCTGGAACGACCTGCGCCATGAGATGAAAACAAAAAAATGGAATTATCACCAAAAATCTAGATGAAATTTTCTTTAACTAGGAACTGAAATGCTGACCCTGTTTTTTTTTAAGAATCAAGTTCTCTCAAAACCCTGGAATAACTATACTAAGCACAGTCCAGCACAATAACACGCCAACATTAATAGAACTGATTGGCAGCTGGTTTGGTTTTCATAATTTTAATATGCGTCATCTAGAGAAAGCATTGGCTGTGAACAAAATATCAATTTTCTGGTAAAGAGGAGATGGTTCAAAGAACGGTGGCTACGTCATGATTTTCTTCTTTTCTTGTTGTTGTTGCTGATGATGTTGTTTACATACATGTACACGAATGAATGACGAAAGCATGAAAAACAAAGTAACTAGGGCCTAGGCCTTATTAAAAAAAAAACAATTGTAAATAAAAATTGCAACAAACATTATCCATGTTATCTGAACTTTTCAATACAAACATGACAAACATGACAAAAGACACACCAAGACCCAACAAGAACCCAACAATAACTTACACTCTACTAGGACTAAGGGAATGACAAAAGCCGGTTCAATACAATAAAAATCGTGTCCAAGATCAACATGATCAATGATTGAGCAAATGAAGATTTACAAACCAGTGTTAATGGTGTATCGAAATCGTGCAGTGCCACTGCCACTGCCACTGCCAGTTCGCTTAGATTTTTTAGAACAATCTCGGCTGATTAAAACCAAGTTTAAAGCTCCTATTTCTTTGTCGATTCTCCAACGAACACTTCATCGATAAAACCTCAACTACCATACTTACAACTGAGACGAGAATTCCGTTCATCCATCCATTTCAGTCACGATTTCTGAGAGTCTTTTTGTTCCAAAGTGATTCCGCTCCAGCTGTCCGTACGTACCAAACAATAACAACATGGCTCTGTGAAGATCGGGAGCGGTCGGAAGACCTCGACTATTTCCGGCAAATCAAGGTCAGTGAACTTTACTTGACCTCCTTCTTTTTATAAGCTGGTATTCACAAGATAACGTGTACATTTGCGACACAAAGGACGAGAACCAGTTAGTTAATGATCCGCCCTTCAGTCACCCTTTGCCCCGCCTCCAAAAAGTGAAAAATAGACTTGAGCAGCGTTTGCGCGTATCGTTTTCGTGGCTTATTCCCATCATTTTTAAACTGATGATGCCACTTGCCTCCAAATTATTTGATTAAATATTCAAAGGCACAAATATAGGAAGAGATTACCAAAGAGGTGAAAATTATTCCAAAGAAGTGACAAGTTCGTAACAAAAAAAATGTATATTTTGGGACGAGACTAAAATAATGACCTTTTTCGACCTCTTTATAATTTGGTAGCTGTTCCTTCTGACGAAGGTAGATCACTCTTGACAAAATCCGTTGCAATCCGTGTCTTCGTATAATATATTCAATAAAATCATCCCAAATTTGCACGATTATTATATAGAGTACACTTAAATATTAATTTGATTTCAGTTCATGTTCTTTTTCAGTTAAATTTTTACATTGAATTATGTAGTAGTTTCATATTCCTATTTGGAAAAATATATGCCTTTTCAATATGCGGGTGGACGTCTGGATGCCATACGGCTGTAGATGAAGTGGCGAATGTGTAGTTTTTCACTTCGAAAATGAATTCCAGAACCTCAAACATTTTCCCATTAACATGATTAATTATAATAATCCTAGTTTTCAAATTTTTCGGGATCGTGTAGTGTAGGGCCCCTGTTTTGTTTTGATAAAATTAGAGTCAAAAATGTTTTTATTGCTCAAAAAAAAAAGGCTACACAATCAAAAGGCAAAAGCAGACTTTTCTCATTTCTCAATTCTAATGACACCCGTTTTGCAATTTTGAACAGTTTCTTGGGGGTAGAATTCAAGATTTTCCCGCGCGGTTTTAGTCCCATAATGTGACGAAAATACTGGACTACCTCCTTATTTAACGTCACACATCCCACATGTGTACTCCTAGAACTGTGTAGACTATGAGGCTCCACGTAGATGGAGAACCCTGCAAAATTGTTTTCAGCACAAAACACTAACATGACTAATTAAGTACAAAAACGTCCATCAAAATGCAGACATTTCCCACAGAACCGCTGCACAGTTTGCCCCCAAACTCCGTACTACACCTCATGACATACTCACGTAATATGCGCAGAACAAACATCGCTGGATTTTGTCGGTTTTTTGGCCAAAATGATGAAAAATATGCCCTTTCCGCACTGAGCCAACCTGACACTTGAAACGTGCACGCATATAATCCAGCGATGATTTTTCTGGTTCGCTCAGAGCGCGCTGCGTGGGTAAGGTACTTGCACTTGTACGCATACGCATACTATCATTTCGCTTGTACCGTACCCCCCGCGGCGCGCTCCGAGCGAACCGAAAATCGCGGATGAAGAGCGCACACAAGAGGGCGCGCTTCACTGCAAATCACCTTGAGTCCAAGTGAGGACCTTTCATAGTTTAATATGAAAAACAAATTATTGCACACTCATCACCTGCCAAAACTGTCAGATTTTACCTCTAACCAGACCACAAATTGCCAAATATTCCTCCTTCGGACCTGGTAGAGATCGAGAATTAGTATGGCGGTGCTTAGATTAACTTGCAGTCTGGGAAAAATCTGTAATCTTCTCGTCGTGCTTGCAGTCGCCATCTTGTCGTCGTGATTCAAATCTAGCATTGAGTCGTGATACATCTCGTTACAATACCGTTGGGAGATATGTTCGTTCCAACCATTTTTCTGAAGAGGGGAGATATAATCTTCTTTTCAACATTACCGTAATACTTGTCATCCATTGTGAAAAAAAAAAAACAGTGTTTGCGATAAGGCTTAAGTAGCTCCTGATTTTCTTTCAGACATGGCTCCTCGCAAAGGCAAGGTACAGAAGGAGGAAGTCCAGGTGCATCTTGGGCCCCAGGTCCCTGAGGGAGAGAACGTCTTCGGAGTGGCTCACATCTTTGCCTCCTTCAATGACACCTTTGTGCATGTCACTGACCTCTCTGGAAGGTCAGTCATATATTTTTTAACTCAAAAAGTATTTTGTAGTATGCCATTCCATACAAGAATATAAACAAGTTGGGTAGAACGCTGCTATAATTAACACAGCCATACAGAATAAAAAATTGGCTATCGAATATTCCCTTTGGCTCCTAAATTTATTCAGAAGTATGCCAAGGATTGGTTTTCCAAAAATCAGTGAAATTAACAACCACAGTACAGAGCAATCGTTTTGCACCTGATTGTGTTCGTTACAGTACTCTTTGACTTCAATCATTCCATTCAATCTTTCCATTCCTTGTTTTTCATTTTCTCTGTAGGGAGACCATCTCTCGTGTGACGGGCGGTATGAAGGTGAAGGCGGATCGTGATGAGGCGTCTCCCTACGCTGCCATGTTGGCCGCTCAGGACGTGGCTGCTCGCTGCAAGGAGCTTGGCATCACTGCCCTGCACATCAAGCTGCGTGCCACCGGTGGAAACAAGTAAGTCTGAGGAAGGCAGATAGGGCCAAGTTCGGGCAAGGACCATTAATCAACTAGTGGTTGATTTGTGACGTACCTTAACGCCTGCGCACTGATGGCAACGTGCGAACGTCTCTAGTCGAACGCTGGTCAAAATGTCATCGCAAAACTTCTGGATCCTGGCTCTCTGCTAGCGTTATGATTGCGCGCAGCTATTGGTTACCAGCGAAGCAACCAACCCCAGTAGGCTGGTTCCAAATAGTCAACTAGCGTAGTCAACCATTGTCGACTAGACAGAGTTCGGGCAAACGTTAGATAACCATTGGTCAACTATAGTCCTTGCGCGAACTTGGCCTAGACTACAGTCGCAAAAGCCAGTCCAGTATTTCATCTTAGCATATATACACAACATTTTACGAGTTTCCTGTCAGGATAAACAATTCACCACACGCATGCAAAATCAGAGTGGTCAACAAATAAATTAACTCCCATAATGCCGTCGGTGTAGGCTTGGTAGTATTTGAAGCTGTCAAGACGTTCCAGCTGGATTGTTTGATGCGAAACAGTTTTTCACATCTGGGATGAGGACAGAACAGAAGGTTAAGAGAGGGCCAACATTAGGAGGATCAAACTTTTTAAGAAAAATAAGTACAAAATTTCAAAACAAACAGATTGCTCTGTGATATAAGACAAAAAGAAGAGCAGTCGAAATTGAAGCTCTGTAGCCCAAAATCTTCAGATATTTTGTTATTTATTTTTGTTCAGGACCAAGACCCCCGGCCCTGGTGCTCAGTCTGCCCTGAGGGCTTTGGCTCGCTCTGGCATGAAGATCGGCCGCATCGGTGAGTACAGTGACTTCACTTTTAAACACTTTACGCTTTACATTTGATCACGCTTCGGCACTAAAACCCCAAATTAACACCTGTTTGACATGGGACATTGATTTCTGCAGTTCTTGTTGAATACATAGTATGGGTTTTTTGTTTTACTGCTCAGTGGAGTATTTTGACACTTTCATGAGGCAAAGTTTATTTGTGTAACATAAATTCTACACAAAGCAATGGCATTTTGACATCAGTAGTTTCTGGTAGTTGTGGGTTCATTTTTAATGGGCAGTGGTGTTTTATATTAAGCCACATGCCATCCGAATTGAGACTCTACACTTGATGTAGCTCATCCTTTTTGGATCTGTCTGGGTAGTGTCAATAGCGCCCTCTATAAGATCAGGATAATGCTCATATAAATCCAGCACATGCACAAAAAGACTGTGCAATTTTGGGTGTTGAGGTTTCTGAACTTGCTATACCAACTCAATCCACTGGAAGTGACCAAATAGAAGCAATAGCGCCCTCAAGGGGCTGAAGCTCACAAACATCTAATCACTAGTGTTCTCCAGTCCTTGACAAATAGTAGGCAGTGGATATCTTAACATCTGTAGGTTTGCTTACAAAAGAAAAATCGACTGTCCATTGTACTTTCAGAAAAATGAGAAATTCTTATCAAGGAACAACGTTTTTATAAAAAAGTTGTGCCTAGTGAGACATTTTCACATAGTGGGGTTGTTTTTGTCCAGAAAAATATTGTCCTGGTTTTCACTCCTCTCTCATTTTTTCCTCCACAGAGGATGTGACCCCAATCCCATCGGACAGCACACGGAGAAAGGGAGGTCGCCGTGGACGTCGTCTCTAGAGGGCGCTGTTATCAAATAGCTGTAGTCCGTTGCAGCCAAAAGTACTGTACAAAGCAAGTAGTATGTTGTGTGAGTTCCGCCAATAAATTGCGCAGAGAACGGTACAGACATTGGTGTCTTGTTGTGTTATTGGATGTCGCAGTGTGTTAGTACGCCAGTTGCAAGTTATTACTTTGATATCTGATAAACCGACTTGTTCATATGTTTTATACATTTGACTTTAAATTCTTCAGACTACTATCCCGCTGTTAGTAAAAACGTCATACATGTACATGCGCGCACACATACTGAAATTTGTATCCTTGTGGAGTCATTTCTTTGTTCTCCTGTACTAAAATTTTCAAGTTTGAAAGTGCACTCTCAAAATGCTCCTATTTTAACCGGAATTAATTTCCTGGGCTGAAATTCCCTTAATATCCCTTACATAAAATACTTCAATTTGCGACAGATCAACACACCTTGGAAATTCCTAGTTTTTGAGTAAAATCCATATATCTAATTTGTGATAACCTTGTGGAGACGTATTCACCTATAGAAATTGCTCTGTGGAGACGTATACAATCTTTTGTTCCCTATTGTGCACATGTCTCCAGAGGGTACCGTGTAACAGATCGCACCACTGATTACTAGCACCCATTGGATAAACACTCGAGTTGCGTTAGCTTCCGGTTCCAATGGTTCCAATGCTACTTAATGGCCAGTTGGCGTGTTTTAAACTGAACTGACGTCACACTAACAAACCTGATAGACAATCTTGCTGTGTCACATTTCCTGTGCAAGTTCTTGCGTAATTATTGATAATGACACAAAGGCACAAGAACTTTGTTGTGGTCTTCTTAAACTTTGAGGTTAATGACATGAGGCATGTACCATACATGATATAGCAACGTTGAATGTACGGATGCAATTATTTTTTAATGAGGATACAAGACATTTAATTTTGACTTGTAAAAAATGGATACAGTTTAGAATTTTGATTTGTATTATCACAAGCTCAACAATCATAACAGCAATTTATTGCTAATTGGAGAATCTAAGATTACAGAAAAAACATAAAAAGCGATCCACAGTGTTTCCATCATTTATTCACAGATACATGTATTTTGAATTGGCATATTAAAAAGCAAAACCCATTCAGCAAAATACAAAATGACAGCCAAAACAATTGACCAGAAATTCAAAACACTTGTAAATTGTTGTTCACGTATACATGTAATCAAATAATATAAAATGAAAAATCAAGGAAAGTTGCAGCATTTAAGAGACACAACCGGCTGTTCCATAGAAAGCTAACCTTGCTGACCCTTTATTATGTAGGTCATGGTGAATACATCCAACGAATACATAAATACACTTGAATAAAATACGCATAAATACAATAAAGGTATTTCTTGGAACTAGAGAAACCACTGAATGCCTTTTGTGCCTTTGCAGACAGCTTTTCAGGATAAAGTGGCAATTCTACACAGGCTTATAAAATGTGGTTTGGCAGTGGCCACAAAATTTCAATCTAAATAAGGTCCTGAGTAAAAAATAAAAATACATTAAAATTTACAAGCTGCTGTTTCGAAGAAGCACCATGAATTAAAGGTAGAGAAGACCATTTGCAGCTATCCAAAAAGTAACCAACCAAATGAATGTGATAAAGCTTACTCGGTTTAAATATAGTAATGATACTTAACTCCCTGTGAAATTATTTCTTCTGGCATGCTGTCATTTTTATAACAAATGGTCGTTTCCAAAGATGTTTCAAGTGACACATTCGTGGAAATTTCTGTGAATCCGCCCCCATGCGTTCTAACTTGTAGTTGGTTTGCAATTGGGCAAATCCGTGAATGGGTGACAATCGGCTGAATGAGAATCACGTCCCAAATGCTGATTTCAGGATTGTGTAACAAGAGCGCCATTCAAAATATAACTGGGCAACTTTGGAATTGAAGTCAAGATCCAAAATATTGTGTTAATGCTTGTTCTGTTTTCTTGAAATATACAGCATTCACAGAGCTAAAACTTCATCAGGTTTAGTTATTAAGCATCCATCTTTAGATTTTGACCTTTTTTTGTTGGTTCAAATGAAAAAAAATCACAATTACAATCGATTAACCGTTAATGGTCTACCTTTAAGTAGCCTTAAGTGGAGCAGTAGTATAACTGAACGTTTTGTTTGGACATAAAAAACATGGCAAATCCTGGCACCTTACCCACTCCCTTTAAAAATAAATAAGTAGATCATGTAAAATTGACCATCTGACTTGAGGCACCACACTTGAAGGCATCTTTTCAGCTATTCGTACACCCATTTTTCAGTTATATTGATTTCCTTTTTTGCCATTGTGCTCTACCTTAAAAGGAAATACAAGTTATCTTTTTCTAAAAAGCAAAGTAGTACTTGTACATTATACAAACTATCAGTGCAAAACAACACCCAAAAGTGAGAAGTTGAATTTTTTTTTTACATGAATACAACGAAAATGCAATTTTGATGAAAGTAACTAAGACTAATGCCCTCGATAAAATGCCGAAATTACAGTGTACTAAGTCTGGGAAAAAAACGATTGTACATCCATAATTGAAGGTCTTAATTTTGCACTAATCTGAAACTTCCCCTGAGAGTCTATTCTGTTTGACAGAAGGTTCACCAAGCTTTATTTTAGTTGATGCAGACAGGCTTTCGCCTTCGCCTCTCAATCCGCCTCTCAATCCAGTGCAGATACTGATCCACCCTGGTATACACTCCAGGAATCGCGCCCAGCAACGGTCTCACATTGCACAGCGAGTCCTTCCCCCAAGACGTAATACCCCAGACCTTCCAGACCCCGTAGCGCTCACACACCAGGGGACCCCCACTGTCCCCCTGACAGGTGTCGGCACGAGCGCGCGTCCCCACCAGGCCGGCGCAGAGCGTCTTGCGGGAGAGGTCGGCACCGTAGAATGAGCGGCAGGTCTTCTGCGACTGAAGAGGTACGGGAGCCTCGTTCAACATGTCTGGAAAGGAGCTAGAGATGAGATCACTAAAGTCTGGAGATTTAGGGGGAAAGGGAAGAAAAGAATTTCAAGATATGAAAGACAGTGTTACAGTTCAGACAAGCACAAGTCCTCTGGTCCAAGTTATGTCTAAAACTGGATCCCAGAGCTGCCACTATGTCTCTTGTAAGCACATTCCCACAAAGTTGTAATGGTTGAAGACCTTGACAACTACTCTAGAGAGATTTGGACCCTGCCTTCTTTCTTGCTGTAGTTCTAGAAAATATGATCAGCAAGTCACTTACTTGAATATCCCCAGCCAGTCACCCAACAGTTGGAGCCCATCTCAAACTCATCTCGTTGCGGTAGACAAGCTGGTAGCACGTGATCGTTGAACAGCGCCCCCTTGTGGCCATTGATCCTCCCCCGTAATGTGACCAGAGCAATGTCGTTGGCGTAGCCATGGCCAGCTCGTAGAGCCCGATACTTGGTGTGGATGTCAAGGCAGCCGATGGCGAAATCTTGCTCCTGGGGTTCGGTGGTGGAGCGGTCGTGCTGGCCGAGACGGATGATGAAGTCATTCTTATGATACCTTTGAAACGGATCAAAATGACATTTAAAGATGTATTCCCCGTGGTATTCTTGGAGTATATCCCCTCAAAAAATAGATTCGTGTTTTCAATTGCTATTTTCCAAGAAATATAAATGTTATTCACTTTTGAATGAGACATCCAACAACAAAATCCTCTGACGTTAAGTTATTGAATTATTTATTTTAAAAAAATTGAATTATTGGCTGCCAGACAATAATTTGGCTCTCGAAGGCAGCTTCATTTGTGCACAAAATGATGTTTCGTTTTCAGAGGGTTGCATACACCCAAAATTTGAATATTTTTTCGTTAAAATGGGAGAAAAAAAATTCATATTTTGAAGAGAGCGGGGTACATTTTTAATGATTGCCCTTTAGAAATAGACGCCTTGCACAAAGCGCCCTCATTGTAGACAATTTTTTTTTTTAATTTAAATTCAGTGAGAATGAAAGTATACACCATTGTTAAAGGGTAGCATTTTAGTTTATAGTGGTCCTGCTAACTAACAAAAAAATTAATTGTAACTTTTTTTAGAAGAAAATCATATAGACGAATTGAGAGCTAAGTACAGAGCGCCCTCATGGTTGACGGGCTTTGTTATTAAAATTTGTGACAAACTTTTTCACATTCACATTGCATCATGGGTACGGACGGCAACCGATGGCGTAATTTTTTTTCCTAGGAGAGTTAGGGGCAATGTCATGAATAATTCAGTTTTTCCTTTGAATCATTGCAAGACTTAGGTTCTCGTTCTATTTTCCCCTTAATTTAAAATTATCTCAGTGATAAATTTGGAGAAGAAAAATAGCTGATGAAAATGAGCAGCGTCGACGTGGATTCGAACCAGGGATCTTTGTATCCATAGCTCATCTCGCTATCCATCAGGCTACTGTGTGGTAGCTCGACGACAACCGTTCTTTAAAATGCTTTAATGTAATGTAACTAGTTGAGTAACTAACAACAATGCTGTTGATGTCATTGTCCGTTCTCATGGATAAACATGAATTATTCATGACATTGCTCCTAACCCTCCTAGGAATAAAAATTACGCCAACCGATGCAGTTGTGCACAAACCTATGGGGCAGTGAACCAGTCAAGCTTTAAATTATTTTTTGTCATCAGTATTTTTCAAAAATTCGTTTTTAAGAAATCATTGATTCACCTATTAATGCATAAAATATAAGAAATATTACTTGTAAAATAAATTAAGTTTTTAAACTTGAGAAATAAAAAGAAGAAATAGTCTTTCCAGGTACCAGTCATCAGGCCCAGAAGAACGATTGTGATTGGTCTGTGCTGGATGCGTGAGCTTGAAATCTTGGTTCTGATTGGCCAATACTGGCAGGGTCATAAGATTCATGTTTATGAGTAATGAAAGTATGAAACTGTATCTAAACCTGGATTCTCAAAACTTTCTTCTTTCTGAAAAAGCTCTAAAAAAAATGATTTTTGAAAATTATATTTCAAGTTACTTACGCAGCAATGTGTGAAAAGATGATCACTTATTCTTGATGTCATGAGGAGGATCGGAAATGAAAGTTTTAACTGGTTCACAGCCCATAGGTTTGTACACAAATTGCCTGGTTGGTTCCATACCCAAGATGCATTATCGAAAAAGAAAGAGGAGGAACACATTTATTAAGACGAAGTTGCCCAACCCCGCCCGGAATTCTACGAGAAATGTACTTTTTTACACACCCATCGAAGCAATGAGCCGCCGTCAGCACGTGCATGGTGTCAATGAGCGTCCCTCCGCAATGGTGGATCTCTTGACCGAAGGAATCCCTCCGAATGATCTGCGCCTGCCAGGGCCAGCGTGTGCCAGCCGTCAAGCCGCCGACAACTCGGCGAATTCGACGGTAGGGGTTGGTGGGGCGGCGACCGCATTTGGTAAGTCCAGCTAGTAATACGAAAGGAAAATAATGAAGTTATTGGAAAAGTTGAAAAATAATGTGTTAAAGATTGATTTGTGTAACCCTCGAACACAAAACAGAAGTTTTCACGAAAATATATGTTATTCTAAGACTTGTCATGCTTGTAGCACTAGCAGTATCTGAAATATACAAAACGGATTTAGGCTACTGAAGTGTTGGGAGAATTTCACTGGGATTCGCAGACGACCGTACTTTCTAATGAAGGAGACAATAAATTCTCCCATTAAAAAAAATGAAAAATGTCACATGTTCTGTGCACTGCACTCGGGTAGTTCTATGGTAGAATTTTCGTCTGCCACGCGGTGACGCGAGAGGCACGGGTTTTATTCCGGGCAGTGCATTTTTTCATAAATTAAGCGGGAAGAATAAAACGGTTAGTTTAAGCGTTTTTCATACAAGTTTGATAAAGATGAATATTAGATTCGTTGATGGAGGGCATATAGAAATCCATGTATACATTTGAGTTGAAAGAATGTGTTATTTGATTGTCTAGCACTGGTGGTTCAGTGGTAGAATTCTCGCCTGCCACGCGGGAGACCCGGGTTCGATTCCCGGCCAGTGCAATTTTTTTTTTTTTATTTTAAGCGGGAAGAGTAAACTTCTGAATCAGTGCAGAGACTTGAAGAAAATAGCAACTACTGTCGAAAAAAACCGACGATTTGCTTTCTCTTTGTAATTTTTTCTCCCTTTCATTTAAACTTGTAGAAGGAATATTTATGTTGTGGAATTCTACAATTTTGTTTTTCAGTGTTAAAATGTCTTTCGAGTTTGGTAAGGGTGAATATGACATTGGTTATGCAAATTATTATTTACACCATGTATAAATTTGAGTTTAAAATAAGATAAGATTTTCTAATGTAGCACTGGTGATTCAGTGATAAAATTCTCGTCTGCCACGCGGGAGATCCGTGTTCGAGCCAGTGCAAGGAATCTTAATGTCTCAGCCTACTGCAAATATTTGAGAATACTCGAGCATTATTTGTAAAACATGTTTGATTTCGCATGGGTTAATTGTGACGGTTGTTCATCGGTGGAATTCGCTTCACACAAAAAATGTTAGTTTAAAATATGCAACGCTCAATGGAACCAAATAAGTCGCTTAGTTAATAAGACGATCTTGTTAACCGTCAAAATAAAAATATAAAAAATAAGCCGGCCACCGACTGCTGATGTTTTTAGTATTTTCAGTTTCAAGATCAATTCAAGACTCTTTTCAAGACTAATTTATTTCGTAATTGTAAATCTTAAATCCTTCCAAATTGGACGGTATTTTCATCGTTCTCTTGTGTGTAGTTGCTCATTCCACGGACAAGGCCGACTACCTACGCGTTGCATCCTTGTAAGCCAAACAAAATTATAATCTAAAGAAGTTTAAAATAAGATAAGATTTTCTAATGTAGCACTGGTGATTCAGTGATAAAATTCTCGTCTGCCACGCGGGAGATCCGTGTTCGAGCCAGTGCAAGGAATCTTAATGTCTCAGCCTACTGCAAATATTTGAGAATACTCGAGCATTATTTGTAAAACATGTTTGATTTCGCATGGGTTAATTGTGACGGTTGTTCATCGGTGGAATTCGCTTCACACAAAAAATGTTAGTTTAAAATATGCAACGCTCAATGGAACCAAATAAGTCGCTTAGTTAATAAGACGATCTTGTTAACCGTCAAAATAAAAATATAAAAAATAAGCCGGCCACCGACTGCTGATGTTTTTAGTCTTTTCAGTTTCAAGATCAATTCAAGACTCTTTTCAAGACTAATTTATTTCGTAATTGTAAATCTTAAATCCTTCCAAATTGGACGGTATTTTCATCGTTCTCTTGTGTGTAGTTGCTCATTCCACGGACAAGGCCGGCTACCTACGCACTGCATCCTTGTAAGCCAAAAAAAATTATAATCTAAAGAAAGATCTTAGACCTTCCAAGAATCCGGATCTATAAATATCAACCGCCTTCACGTTGAACCTGTTAGCCACCCACCTGTCACTTGATTGGACATAATTAACTAATTGTCATTTATGTATCCCGTCCAAGGGTTAATCATGTCTCGGGGCGACAGGTGTCATGTCACATCACATAGCGGGCTGGGAGGACTTAGTAGTGCCGTAGAGCACGGCCTTGCCACCAGCCATCACTCGGTCAACCATGGTCCCGAGTAAATCTTGCGTGAAAAATCTCTCTCGAAGTTCAGAACTTATCCAAGGTTGTACTTCAATATGTTCTCAATTTATTTCTATGTTTTTACAAAACAGAGGCCATAGGAAGTTCATGACGTATACGTAGGATATTGGAATTTGTGGTGAACTTGAACAATAACTTTGCAACATGACTGTTTGCGTGCGAAATGTACTTGCACATTTTTTTGGTGTGAATTTTAAGAACATTTTCACGGTTCTTCAAAATAAGTTACAAAACAAGATAAAGTACAAAATACTCCTCCAATCATCCAGAAATTATGAATTTAGTACAAGTATTATTGTTGGTAGTGGCAAAATATTTTCGGTTGAACGATTTCTGCTGAACTATCGAACCTCAGTCCCCAATTTATACGTTTATTGCCACTTGTACAGGACAAATCAAAACACTAGTTTAAGCAATTTCCATTTTCAAAAAGACCCATTAATCAATAAAAGAAATTCTTCACATGATATCAGCCTTTTGGAATTGTAAAAATGCCTACAGCAACAAACCTTTTCATACAGCTTCGGGCATGGTAAACGTAGAGGTGAAATTAGGATGTCGATAAACATCGGTAAAATTTGTCGGCATCACATCCGCAAACAAAAAAGATACCTATCCGAACGATCCTCTGAACAACACATAACGGGGAGGGGTGGTAAATTCATGGACATCGATTCCTTACCGATGGGTAATCGTCTCGGTGGATGTTGCAGGATGTCATCTTCTATTACTCCTAAGCTCGTATGAGGCAGAGTTACTTCTTCCTGTAGTGATGGTACCGTATCGTCTTCAGACACAACGTCTCCCAGACGTGTTGAAGGACTCATCTTTTAGAAGAAAAATTAATCATTAAATTAATCCGCCAAAAAGTTCACAAATATCAAAATCACACAACTGGAACGGTCGTTTGAAAAGCCAGCACAAAATGTTTCGCTTTCTATGTTACACAAATGGCACAAACCGTGTGAATGTCTGGAGCTTTGAAATGAAACTATAAACGTACCTTTGTTTTCCTACGCGATTTCCGGTGATTTCTGGCCGATGTTGTACTTGATGTCGACAAACAAATCTCCGTGACGAAACAGCACACGAACAAAACGGAAAATCCCCGGCAGTTACTGAACATTTTATGAATCCAATTCAAGCATTCCATGTGCGTTCAAATTTCAGAAAATAAATTTCAACAGCTTGATGTTTGCTATAGCATGCCACGCCGTCCAAAGTGCATGTGTGTCCTATAGGTTCAGTGGGTCCCAATGAATGAAGCAAAATTCATGATTCTGTTCAGACAAGAGTCACCAAAACTCTGATATCATTCGTGATGACGTCACCGTTAGTATTCCGGCCGAGCGCCCTTGCGTGAATGCACGGCAGTGTTTTACCTCCACAATTCGCTCACTCTTCATCATCCTCGCTTCGAAAAATTCCTTGCGATCATATCCATCTTTCGTTGGGCCGAGGACAAACGAATTACTGTGCCGCGAACGATCGCGAGCGGGACATAATCGCCTGACTCCCCGCCTATTGTCTGACGGCTTCCGGCGTTCTTTTGTCCCCTCGGTTCAAAGAACGGTTCGTTTCTTCAGTCAGTTCCGGCGATTGGTTCGTAAAACTCCCCCAAATTATAGAAGCTCAGAGTATCTTCCCTGCTATCGCTATTGGGGATTTTTTTTTTCTCAAGCTAAACCACAAATGTTGACATATCAAATAATAAAATGCTGGCCCGTTATACGACTGAGTTTGCTTGAACAGCTTCTTGTCACCAGGGAACAAAAGCGTCAGTATTGTCGGTGATCCATGAGCATAATTTTTGTGACAGCTGATTTAATTTTTCCATCGTTGGATTTTTTTTCGGGGGGGGGGGGAGTGGGTGTCTAATTAACAAATTAATATCCACACCGGGGGCTTTGCGGAATGGGTCTGGTTGCATGAAGGTGAGACTATTTTTGGAACCAAAAAAAATGTGTTTTACCTATATTTAGATAGTTGTCGGGTTGGATTATATGATTTGAGGGTCATGGTGGATTTTTCAAATGGAACTTGAAGGGAGCAATTTAGATTTGAATTAAAAGGAAATGCAGTATTTGAGCCAGCTAGGTGAGCAATCTAAAACTTTTTTTAGAAATCTGCTTGAAAAATGGCAGTACCAAACCATGGTCTTTAAATAGCAAGTATTATAACCTTACTAAACAGATAAACCGCAGAGCATAACATTTTTTAAAATTCATCTAAATATGCAGAATTTACAAGACAGTGATAAATTTGCCAGCCGTTCTGCACCGTTGGTTCTTGCGCATGCCAGCCTCCTTTCATAAGTACGTCGTGATTCACGTTTGACTATTGAAAATGGAATCTGAACTTATTGTTCTTTTCTTTTATTAAACCTGCGAGACAGAAACTTCTGACAAAGAGCACAACTTGTTTGTTTTCCTCTATTTTATTTCACTTTGTCTGCGATCGATTGTCTGGTACGGTGTAACATTCAGTAATTGTAGCATTTAGACAACTTTCTCGTGCACACTTTACGAACGTTTCCGATGGCTCACCGTATACTCTGCCATCCGTTCAGTCTTTCATAAAAAGAAAATTTGAATATTTCTCATGTTATTAAATGTCCATTGATTCGACGATCAAAGAATTATGAATACTTGAGCTAACCCTTTTTTATAAATTACTTCTTTAAATAAAGTATTGCACGTTCAAAATTTCAACTTCAGAGTTCAATAAATAGTAAATATAACTTAAATAGATATCTTAAATAGATAATTCAAGAAAATAAATAATAAGTTAAAGAAAACCGTTTCCATATTGAATCAATAGATATTAATTTTAAATAAGTTAAATACTATTTAAACAACTATGCATTTTATAAATATTCTTTCCTTTTCAAAACACTATTTCAACTTTCGTAAAACGTTTATAAATAATAAATATAAGATCTAACTTAAACACACATTATCTTACCTATACCAGTAATTTAAGTTGAATAAATAATTGAAGTATAATATAGACAGGACCGTTTTAAATATTCCATAGGGAATACATAAATATTAATAAATAAGTTAATACATAAATATTAATAAATAAGTTAATACATAAATATTAATAAATAAGTTAAACACTTCGGCCTGATTTGTTTAAAACAACTATGAATGTGATAAATATTCTTTCCTTAAAGGAACCATAAATAGCTACTGAATAATAAATAAGTTAACCCGAGTAAATGTCATCCTACAAAATGAGTATTTTAAAAAATACTTTTCAATCATCTTTTGGAAGGACAACTGTCCATCTCAATTCTACTCTGAATCCAGCTTCTGTACCGATCAACTCTCGTATATACCCCCGGCACAGCGTCGGTAGGCGAGGGGTTGCAGAACGTGTTATCCCCCCACGAAGTCACCCCGAAAAGTTTCCACACTCCACCCCTCTGGCAAATCAACGGCCCACCGCTGTCCCCCTTGCAGGTGTCTGCTCGCCGATCCCCTTCCAGGTAGCCCGCGCAGATCATCTTTTTGGAGATGTAACTGCCGTAGGCTTGCTTGCACTGGTCGTTGCTCAAGATCGGGACTTGGGCTTCGTTCAACACTTCAGGCCTCTTGCCGACTAAAAGGTCGTTGAAATCTGCAGAGAACGGGGAAAAAAGTGAGAAAATGCTTACATTTTGCTTTACTCGACACTTTGACTTGTTTGGACCGTCTTGAAAGAACTTTTCAAAAAGGTGAAGAAAGAAAGAATATCACTGAGTATAATGGGTACAAAATACGAGCAGAGTGCGGGAGTCTACAAGTACCGCGGAATATCAAATAAGATTGGCCCTTTTTTCTCTCCTAATTTGAGAAAAAAAGTACGGGTATATGAAATTTCAAATTTTGCTCTTACTTGTGTAGCCCCACCCAGTGACGTAGCACGTATCTCCCGCTTTAAACTCATTCTTCTCTGGCATACAGGCGGGCATGACAAAGTCGTTAAGCATGACATCGTGGCCCGGAGCTGTCTTGAGTTTGACCACGGCGATGTCGTTGTTGTACGGGATTCCCTTGACGTATCGGCGGTGGATGTGGACGCAGTCGACCGGGAATTGCTGCTCTGTACCCTCCGGTCTCGACCGGTCGTGCTCGCCCAGGACTATGTTGATGTCATTCTGGTTCCTGTGACAGATAAAAATGGGTCTTTTTACTCAACTATTCAAAAATAATGAAGTCTTCAACGACTGTTTCCCGAACGCTCGATCTAAGACAGTGTTAGTCTCTTGTTTCCTTGAGAATATTTCTATTCCCCTTGGATGGGATGCAGTCCATCGCAAGTTAGGGCCGGTACCCATTTAAACTCCTTGATGAAGAGAGGCAAAAAGGAGTAAAATGGCTTGCCCAAGGACACAACACATCATATAGCTGGTACAGCAGGATTCGAACCCCGGACCTGCTGATCATGAGTCACAAACACTAATCGCTTATAAAAGTTGTATTTTATGTTCTCATAAAATACATAAAGTAAAGTTGCAAACCGATCGAGAGGTCAGATTAAATAACCTCTTACAACGTTTGGAAACATTTCTATCTTCCAACTTAGTGAGTTTTCGAATGTTTCTTGTTCCTCGATATGAAATGCTCGTAAGTATGTTTATTATCGGTTGTGATGATGAACTGAAATAGTAACTGACATAAATATAGAAAAGGGAGAATAAAGGGTAAAAAGGTCGAAGTATTTTCTCCAGTCTTACTTTCCATCGAAGCAGTGTGCCGCCGTGACGACGTGCTCTCGACCAATCAGCGTGCCTCCACAGAACGGCTGCTTGGACGTCGTATCGACCAGCGCGACCTGCCACGGCCAGCGATTGCTAGACTCTACTCCAGCCACCACACGGAAGACTGCTTGCTTCTGATACGTGGGTCGCATGCCACAAGTTGCCAGATTGCCTATCGGGGAAAAGGAAAATATCACATTAATACTTGATGACAGTCTACGGGATTTAACTTAACACTGTGATGATTCACGAAGGGACAAAGGGATATGACACCGCAGGCGTAACTTTATACCACTAATTTCAAGTTCAAGTTTACGAGGACACAACCCAAATCAGATTGCGGTCAGATCAAACGAAAAACACACAAAGCATTATGTAGGTGTAGTTTATAATAAACCTCAAAACAATTTTTCAATTTTAGTACAACATTTATAAATGTAACCATTTATGCAGTTGAAAAATATTGAATGGAATTCACAGAGATATGGTCGTACACACGGTAAGAGTATTATATCATCGTATTTAAGTAACCATAACCACTTTTACGTTGAGGACTCGGAATAACCGCCATGTTTAGTTTGGTTGGTGTGGTTTTATGAATACGGAAGTTGGAACCGCAGGAATATTGTGTGGTGGGTACTCGTGTGAACAAGTAATCTTTTATTCATATTTATCCTAGATTCATTAGGATACATTATTCGTGGATAAGTAATGTTAAACAGCGATTTCACAAGCTCTACTTAATCTGGTCAATGACTTCTTTGGGAACCTTTGGCCAATCTATTCGGCAAAATATATAATAATGGCAAACTGCGTGTATGCAATGTACAACATTTCTGGTTTTGATTTTTCTCCTTTTTCTAAACAAAATATGCCTATCATATTTTCAGCTGGGCAGCAATTTCAACCTTTGTACAACCATCCTTCATTCACTTTATTCATAACCTAAGGTGACGTTTGTTTCTCTGATTTCAACCAATGTAAATTGGCTCGACGTTTGCTGACGAAACCAAACCACATCATCAGTGTTAAAGTTCACTAGAGTCACACGTTTGAAAAGGCCCATATAAGAGTACTCTCGATTGCGGAAACTGTGTCATGTAATAGCCGTGGGAATACAAGTTCAAGTTCCGTGTTGGTTTAACATTGTATAATTCGGAAGCCTCGGCCCAAACCAGTTTCCTGTGGCCGTTTCCTGACCCGATGTGTTCGGGATTTTTTTCCTTCATAAAACAGTTCATATAGTTAACGAGGAAATAATAACAGAAGATGCCAATGTTTTTAGTGAACTGTTTTTCTGTTTGTAACCACAATTGTCAGGGATAAATTTGTGACCTCTGAAAGCACTTGGACACGAAAACAAGTATTTTTGAACTTGACTGCGAAGTTACTTTCGATATTGTTCGTGTGACCTCCCGACCTCTGTGTTCGTTTCTGATGTACATGTAATTTCCTTTCAAAGATCCACGTAGGCCCCTTTTTTGTTATAGGAATGTGGCTGAAGATGAGATATTTTTTAGGACAAAAGTTATCCACCACCCTTTACTGCCATAATACGCACCGAACGGAATGACACTCAATTTCATCATCAGCCTACAAGAGATTATACGTTTTTGTTGGTTTTCATCGAAACGGGGTCCTTCACCGTGCCTCGACCGTGACACGGCGCGGTCTTTTCACCCCTGTCCTCCCCCTGAGGCGCTCCGTGTGGGAGCCGATTCTCCCAGCTCGTTGGGTTTTCTTTTATTAGTCGATTTGAAAGGCGGGGAAGTAATTTAAATCCATCAGATAAATCCTACTTCTTGTGGAACGAATGACAATACTCTGACGTTGGCTATTATGCATGTACCGAGTAACAACAAGATTATGTGGAATTTATCATTTCTCGCGGAAAATTTTAGAAGAATATAAATTCCTTTTACAGCGAACAAAAATGTCATAATTTAAAATACACCCCACGTTCAGTGTGTCAATTCAATTCGATATCAATTTACACGCAACAAAACAGAAACGAAGAGCTATATCAAAATCACAAACCGAACAAAAATGTCGGTATACGCTTTCCTTTCAGATGTGTGCATGCATCATGATATCATTTTTTAACAAATTGAAATCTGGATTTTTTAAAGACAAAGTCTGTTTCCTGAACAAGGGAACCAAATATTTGAGAGGAAGTCATGAATGAGTTCCGTTAGTTTGAGACAGGATCATACTAAGTAGGCGGCATTTTGAATGTCACGCGACTGTATTTTGTTGCTGCCATACACTGTCATGATGGGGGTTGTAAACTGAGATAGAAGGCCCACTCGCGGTGTAACCATCACACGCACATTGTAACTTGTTGCTTGGATACGAAAGCCATCATGGCGGAAGTGTCCCTTTGATGTCGCCGACATAGGCGATTTCGACGGTCATTTTTATAAGATAACGCAATCAACGAGTGTTAAATCAATATTGATACATCAGGTTCGTGTAACGCAGTTTTTTTTTAATGTCTGTGGTTTGGCAGTTTGCCAGAATGCAGTTTTTAATTTACAAAATGGCCTCTGCTACAAGTCAAAATTAAAAAAAATGGGCCTAAAGGTTTCATTAAATCGGTGACTTATCAATTGTAATGTGAAATTTTATGTTTGCATATTATTTCTTGTTTCATTTTGCAAAGGATCGTAATCAATATAGGAACACCTGGACTTTGAATTCACGATGTATATTGTTAAACTAAACTATACCTATAATCGGCTGTACACAAAAACAGGCCCTATACCGTTTTGGTATATAAAGTAAGATATTTTGGGAGAAAGAAAAAAATGAACAGATCATCTGAATAAAATTTAGACTTTTTTATATTTTCGAATATAAATACTATACACCCTAATCTAAAAGATATTTGGAGATTTGCCCAATTATCTCCTTTGGAACTACTCGGAAGCCACAGTGTCAGACTCTTTTATTTTTTTGTATTATATCGTCTCAATTTGTCTTGAAATTTAGGAATTTTGGGATGTAACTTACTCGGTTGTTTGAGGCCAGCAAGTAGCGTGACTACACTAGACACAGCCTCATCTGTCTCGTCAACGTTCACCCGGCCAGGAGCTGATTTCTGGAGGAAAAAACAGTAAGTCAAACTTAAGTCTTACCATTAAACAAATGTCCTTAAAGTCACTGACCACCCAGAAAAAAAACACAACCCTAAGAAGATTATGTCGTACGCCCCTTTAACATCATACTTCGGTGACTGTTGTATCAACGTTTGTATGCTTGTACACTTGTTGTAGACATTTTTAGAACCATTCCCCCCTGTTTCTACCTAACCTCACTGAGTTACATTGTAAAATCTCAGAGGAAAAATACCGATAAGGAACAGTGTGAAATGATACAATGAATGAGAAGGGAGAGGTTAAGATCTCAGAATCGGGTGTCAGTTTAAAGTGCGGAACTTCATAAGAAAATCAGATAGTCTTACCTTAAGATCAAGTGCCCTTCCCTCCACCGCCGAACGGCACAATAATACCAAAACTAGAAGGGACATCACAGGCAAAAATCTTGCCCACGAGCTTATTGCGTTCATAGTTGTTATATTTTCTGGTGCAAAACTTTCAATGACTTGATCAAACTTTTGAGACTAATTTTAGCGCCTAAGTGGTTCAGAGCAACGGTAGCTTGCCAATAGTAAATTGACACAAGTGTATATTTTAAGGTGAACTACAAACTCCAAATATTGACTTGCTCGCTGGTCGGATTCCAGAGCAGTTGTGATGTTTCCTGGGTTGAAGCGGGCTGTATTTATACGTTATTGACCGAGTAACTTCCTGAATATTCATATCGCTTTTGGCGGGAAGCCCTGTAAACGACATAATATTATCAAAGGCAAGCCCCGATGCTGGGCCTTAAAATTCAAATTACGTCATATCTTAAAATAGCACAATTATGTATTTAAACAAAATGTCAAGTGCTTCGTATTACGAAACGAACAAATCACATGGAAAGTACTGTGTTTGCTATCAGGGGTCCCCTACGGCTGCTTCAGGACATATCCTGGAGCCTGATTGGTCGGAGTGCTTGGTCCCGAAGCCGGTCACTGTCCCGCGCCCTGTGATTGGTCGGAATTAATTTCATTTCGTGGTGCGCGGCGGGATGTCAAGAAGGGGGATATATATTATATTTCCTTTCCGGATGGTGGACGAGGGAAGGATATCCTTATTCAGGGTATCGTTGTGGTAAAGTTGGACACTAGAAGGAATGTGTTGTCTCCTTAAGAGTGGCAAGCTGATGAGTGACGCGGAGCAGTATTAGTCGGTTGAAGTTATTTATTGCTATTTTGTCAAGTCGTTGAAACATTGCGAGAAATGCATTGTAGGTTCGGTGAAACTTAGTGCATTTATCATCACGCATGTGCCAGTATTTTGTAACAAATTGTGACAAACATATAACTCTTGTAATGTTAACCCGGGCTTTGGTTTGATCTCCGCAGAATGTCGAAAAATTATAAGTATTTCGGTCAAACATGCTTATGGTTGTCGCAAATACTTTTGGTTTTTAATTTAATTTCTTATGTTTCTATATCTTCCTGTTTTGGTGTTGCCCCAAATATGGCTCTTGCCTCTGGACGTCATGTGACGTCACGTCCAGTTAAGGTCCTGATTATATTAATTAGGAACAGATAAGCCACAAATCCTCTAAAATCCGCGTGTGGTGACAGACATATATCCCGTGTATATGAATATGATATCAGTTGTCCCTCAAACACCGCTGAAACATTATTTGGGAAAACTTTGCTCATCACAATGAGAACGTGCACACTAATGTTTCGAGAAATGTTCCCTTGTTTTTTGGTGCCTGTGTCATTGTGCACGTACACAAGTCTGTATCATGGGGTTCAGGAAAAAACAAACGATGTCACAGTCACGATGAAAAACGATTTCCTTATTTCCTTATAACCGAGTCTGATTCGTATCGATAAATGCCTAAATTTCCTTGAAGCAAATACTGCAAATGTCATTAATGATGACAGCATATCTTTCATTGGGTATAACATTCAGTGTTTCTAATGTCAGCTTACATACACAAACAATTGGGTCTTATTTTTTTTTTAAGACCACAAGAAAAGAAAGAATTTATGTGAAAGACAATCTCTATATTTCAACCTATACCAATCCATGCAATTTTTTTTATTTCAATGAAAAATATGTTGATTTCACAGCCTATACCTTCATCACAGTTATGTCCAACTATCTCCAGGCCTTCAAGAATTCCTACTTTTTCCTAGATGTTATCTTTGTTTCTACTTTTCCTCTTTTCTTCTTGAAATTCCTTCTTTTTCCTACTTTTCCTACTTTTTGTCTTACAACTCCGAAAACTGAAATCTCATTGAATATATTCATAACAGTGCTATTACACACTGTCATGTGTAAATGACACAATAGGGGGCTTGGGCGCAGAAGTGCTGCAGCTGTACTTCCAATTTATTGGGAAGGATGCAGATAATTTTAGACATCAAAAAGAGGTACTTCCAAGAGCTTAGTTGAGGATGGAGCACAAGTGCTGTGGGTACAGAATATGCCAAATGAGGCTTATGATGCTGTGGACATGGGTGAGTATCAACGAAAACTACCCCTGAAAGCCCGCAAAAGTCCTTCTGTATCCTGACTTTGTCCCCCAGTGTCCTACTTTTGTCCTTTGCTGTAGTTTAAAATGTTGATACTCTTTTACTTTTTCACGTGGGTCTGCTCGAAAACCGTAACTCATTTATTTTCTGCATGCGCTTTTAATCTTGCGTCAGATACAATTATAATGCATTGCACTTGACATTCAGGGATCAACGACCTCACCTCCGCAAAAACACAAAGTCACCCAGGATATCAGAGAAGCTCTACATACTGAAAGTAGTTACGGCGAAAGCTTCGGAGTTACAAGGATGTTATGGTTTGGATAACGTGCAAGTATTCCCTTGAGCGATTGGACTTCATTCACATGAACATGAACGTGGTTTACCGTGGGGTTTGGACAAAACAAACCTACGTTTTTGTGGGTGTTGTGTTAATTGTATGTACATCTTGATTCATGTTATTGGGAAGGATGCAGATAATTTTAGACATCAAAAGGAGGTGCAGCAGTTTTCTCTGAAACCATCTTGCAGAGTTTAGTTTTGGGTGTTGCCCTCATCCGGTGTAACTTCATGGAACAGTGAATACTCGGTGATGTCCGGGGCTTGCTAGAAAAACAAATTCACAAGCTTACTCGGGTGGGACTCGAACCAACGACCTCCAACTGTAAACCTCATCTTGGAGAAGTTTATGGGTTATACATTCGGGGTTCCTGTTACATCTGACATCTGTGATTTTATGCATGTGATGCTCTCTTTAATGCAGTCGTCCTCCAAGAGTGATTATGAATGGTAAACTACCAATACCCAACATAAAATCATTTGAAGTCATTCTTAACGATACTTTAATGGCAAATTACAAAGTACCAAGTTAACATACAGGGACAGGAAAATGCCACACTTTGGACCCTTAATTTATACATGTAGAATTACCCTTATACTATTATAGTTTGTTTCCTAAGGGCGACATAAATGCTGGGTAAAGGTTGTCGAAGGCACTCGACTAAAAAAACGTTTTTCTCACAAAATAACTGCTTACACATGTAGTTAGTTTCAGCTGTGTGAATGGCCATTCACACGGAAGGCTGCAAAACTAGGTCAAGGGACTGTTCCACATGCATTTATGTTGGGACTGTGTAGGCACGTGTCACTGTGTGTGAAATTAATAGTCAACGAATATGACCGATATGTCAATGACATGCACTCGACATGAAATTGTGGTCGAGATGATGTTGGAGTTGGGCCCGTGGGAGACATGAATGTTGTCACGTTCATTCGTTGAGATGAGGGGTTTATAGCTATTCGAGTACTCGCCAGATGAACTAGAATGTGGTTGTTGAAATGTTTGGGTAACGTGGTTATGGTGGTCGAGAAAAAATAACAAAATTCTACCCGGAGGGTCGTTAACATCACATGTATAGTATATGCAACGTAACTGTAGCTTGAATGTTGAAGTGTGTATAAATTTTTTGTACATCGCAAGGGACATTGGTGAGGGGCTATGTAACGTAAAACTGCACTATCGCCAAGTACTTTTTAGCAATGTGATGAAAAACCCTCCACATCACTAAGAATTATTGGGAGAAACAAGTACTATTTGTCAAGATGGGGGGGGGGGGGGGCTTTAACAAGGATGAGTCCAAGCTTCTTATAATACAGTACAGTTTAGCCGGTTTTGAGCCATGCATATTATCACCATGCATGGTCATTTTCATGACCCGTACTTTCGGATGACCAGGATACCCAAACAGTCGGCTGACACTGACACAAAAAAAGTGCGACTTTGCGGTGACGGGAATGAAACTTTGCAATTTATGCAACAGTTTGTGTCCTTATATGGCCAAATTAGGCTACACTTACCAGGATCTGGGCACGGTGATTCAGCAGAACAAGTTGCGGATGAAATTTCACCAGTGGTAACCGAGGATTTGTTTTGCCTGTAAACAAAAACCCTAAAATTAAAACCCTAAAAAACCCTAAAAAGTGATTCCACAACTGCGTGAGAGTTGAGGTCATAGTAGTATGACTTGCAATTGAGGGGGGATTTTCAACAGCTTCTCTCGTGTGTACTGTGTATACCAAAACAATTTTAAAAAGTTTTCAACGTATGCGACATTGTCAAAATCCAAATGAGCCTTATTCTTGAACAGTAGGGGGCGATGCACCCCCAGCGCCATTTTGGGGTGCATGTACAAATAAACGTGTATCCACAGCTTTTGACGTCAGTTTACATGTTGCTACAATTTAAAAATAGCATTGGTACAAAGTCTTTAATTTTAGGATTTAAGTAAACGTTTGGAACTGCTTTAATGAACGGAACTTTCAATGTCGCCCTCATTGCCTCAGAATAGGACAGTTTAGGGGAAAAACAGCTTATCAATGTATGTATTACCAAAAGCTGTACCCCTAACGTACGCACCTGAACCCCGGCTTCTTTTTGGAGGTTCGTGTGCCTTGGACCTGTACTCTGTAATGTTTTTACAAAGCACTATGTAGGATGATGAAGTAAAAGCATCGCTTATAGTTATATATTGACACTAAGATTCGCTTGAAAATATAATTGGTACTATAGAACGTGAATCATCGAGATTTAATCGTCAGTTGTTAGAGTATATATAGGCCTATACGCTCTTGGCCTACGCGTCTGCTAAATCAACGTTCGTGGACTTGGGTCTGGTTCACTAGTAGGTTAGGCCGTTTCCTAGAGTACTCTTTCACCCATGACATATGTCTACATCGGAAATGATCCAAAACAACACAATGGAAAAAGGACAATTCATTGTTGGCAGTCTGTTGCCGTTCCTTAATTGTAGACCATAGTCACTTGCACGTGGTGGCAAAAGTTGGTCACTACGATAACAAAACATATCCAAGCTGAACCTGTCTGTCATGTGAGTTGGACAGGCTCACATTATGCATGTGAGTCCTCGGTTGCATGAGAAAAATGCACAACAATCAACAGTAAACAGACAGGCCTAATTGAATTCTGCAGCGTGAGCTTTCACAAAGCCCCGTTAATAGGGGGTGGTAAATATTATACCAAGCCGTAAAAGTGCAAACCTAACCACCGTATGCCCAGATGCTTAAAACCCATATTGTCAATAATTTCTTCCCACGCTAGAAGCAAACACGGTATTGTCAGGCATTATACAACACAAAGTCACAAGAAATACCTGGCTAACCACAACCATCCTCATTGTTGAGTGCTGTCTATCTACAAAAAAAAACTTTGTGTCGCAGGTAGTATAAGTAAATGTTTGTGGAATTTCCGCCATTTTTCACGGGGAGCTATTTTTGTGCGCGCTAATCTGATTACAGTGGCAAAGTAGATGATTGCTGTTTGCGTTTTCAGACCTTTTCGTGTTCAAATTTCAAAAGATTTGGAACTAGTCCAGGTGTGCGTACCTTTTCCAGGAACTGGAATAAACAGATTTTTTTTTTGGGGGGGGGGGGTGAAAAGAGGAGAATATTTTGAGTTCGCAAAACTGCTGTAATTGGTTCTTTTTCAGGGGGACAATGATTATAGCCCACAGGTGGACAGGTGTACAGGTGTACAGGCTAATTGATTGGGTTCAATCCTGTAACTGTTGTCCAGCAGTTTTATTGAGGATGGACGGTAACGCCTTTTGATGTTGTCAAGAAAAGATGACGCTAGATCCGGCACCTCGGTCACACCCGACATAAAAATAAAACAGAAGAGAAATTCTTGAAGTAATTTTCCAATTATTTTTTTGTTCGATTCCAGGCATCTTGTAGTCATCTAGATTCGAGGTCGAGTTTACGAGCGAGCATTTCCTTGAAGGAATAAATGAAGAAAACGGGCTGTGAACAAAATGATTGGTATGTTTTCAGGGACGAGCGAAGGGAGGCAAATTTGATGGTCAGAAATGTGTAGAAGTAAACATCCTTATTGGAGGGTTACACCCCATTTTCTTTAAATGAAAACACGCCGTTTATGGAATGTTAGCGAGAAGTCCGGAGACTTCAATTTGTGGCGCATATTATTTTACCGCACGACCTTTCTCGGTATAGGCCTACAGCTGTGTCTTAACGGCAGTCCCATTGGCCCGTACTTGGCGAACATCAGCTACGTTATGAAATGGTCCTGATGCAGTTCGATGCCTTTATTTCTCGAAATTATAAACTTTGGAAGTGTTGAAAGAAATTCATGTCGAACTGAACACGAACTAAGCAATTATTTTTCAACTGAAGCACGCACAGCTTACATGCGACTGTCAGTAGTAACATAATAATCTGTAATTTTCCAATAATACGTGGCGATCGGGTTCAAAAGTTCCCCCGTTTATTTTCGTCACAGCACACACACACACAACCCCCGATTGTTGACTGTCGCTTTTGTTGAAGGTGTGAACTTTGACTGAACTATATGCGCTTATTATCCCATAGAACTTGTACCTGGCCCATTCTAAAAAAGAAAAACGATAATAATACAAGTCGAAGAGGCAGACCTTTTCTTGTTTGTAAAAATGATTGGAATGTGGCGAGGGGGCGATTAGGTAAATGACTTTGGCGATAAAGGGGACGATTTTGTTTTGATGCTGAGATTGAACAAACATGATTTTGACTTCCATATTTCGACATCAAAACAACTCGGGCAGCATCAGTCGAAAAATACGCACAAAAGCAGGAAAGAGGCGGGTTTAACCGTATAAAACAGGGAATTTTTTTAAATAAAAAAATGAATCATGCAAAATTTCCCCCAATGCGCGGACAGGGAAGTGAAAGCAATAAAATGATGTCATGTTGAAATTACAGACATTATTATAACATGAAGTCACACAATTTTCACAAATGTTGGCATATACATTGTATCTGAAAACAGTGGTCTTACCATACGGAAAGTATATAGTGTGCTATACGGTATGGACCCCCGCGGCGTATATCTATTGGGAGAGTAATTTCAGACATTTATCACGAAAGGTCTTTAAGAAGTTGGCCATGAAGTGCGATTCCCAATCCTCTACTCTCAGTGACTGTATCAAATTATTGTGACACGGTCTTTACAGAAACCAAGGATAGACTGAGCATTAGCGGTTAACATTACCCTAATGACTTCTGGTGGCAGAGATTAACGTGTTCAACACAACAGAAGGAATGATCCAACAGCTTAGTGCCGAACGGGTTTTAAATTTCAAACTCCGCAGATATGAATATTTAAACAGTCACTGACCTAATCCGAGAATTGCCCGTGTCTGGTGTTGGGGAGTATAAAACCCTTTTGTCAACCTCTGGAACGACAGAAGGAAATTGGAGTTCATAGCGGGAGCTTGTTATACGCGGTTCAGTGGACCGATATTACCCTCCATCAACACTACTTCAGGAGTATCAACTTCAACTGTTCTGAATACTGGGATCGTTGTGTATGAAAAAAGGCACGGTTTGGGAATGACTGCTAGGATGTTAAATGGATTGGAAGCAGTGTACAAAGCCACAAAGCAGACTTGGTACCCAGTGTGTCAATAGAGTTGGCTGGCAAAAAGGTTTGACCGTCTGTGTATGTTGTTCGCCGTCTACACAACAAAACTGGATTCTATTCGTATATTTCGAGAGTTTTTCAGCAAGCCAATAATCATACTGTCTCTGATTCGCATGAGCATCGTCAGTGAACCAACCTATCTGCAGTATCGTCGCATATTCTCGTGGATTCTCGAGGACCTCTCAGCTGTCTACGATGACATCTTCACGGGATGCGTTGCTCGCGTCAGCCATTCTTGTCTCTCTTGCAGTGTCGTGTCTCATCGGTGTACAAGGCCACGCGATCAAGATCAAGACCGCGAATATACCTCGTTTGGATGGAGCCCGAGGACCCAACGCAGATAAGGTGAGAAATCAAACAAGTAAAATCTTATAAATAGGTATCTCGCCAGTTTCTTTGTTTGGCTGACTATAATCACTAATGAGATGTAGATGGCATGTATATTAGGATAAGGGTTGACAATTGGGGGCGTAGCTTAGGCAGTTAGGGAGTACATGTTTGATGTTTGTCATTACTCATGAAGTGAAGATGATGTCGCATATAAATTAAATTGTCACGTGCTTCTTTTCACCGTGACGCTTATGCCACTACGCCTTGTAGCCTCCCATGATCTTCCCATTTTATACACTTCGTTACACAGTATTCACGGTTCCAACTTCTTTGTTAGCTTTTTAGCAGACACCAGTATTGTTGTACTCGTACTCGAGTACTACTCGAGTACCGTCTGAGACACCTGTTTGATTAATTGACTTTTTACGACTCCCGTACCCCTGTTTAATTTATTAAAGTTTGTGGATTTCTTTAAAGTGCAAAGGACGGAGGTCTATTAAAATGTAGGTTATCACTTCACTTAAAATGGGGCGCTGTGGTCACTCGAGCGTTGGTTTGTTTACTTTCTGCTTGTTTGTATTTCTTGCGAGTTTACAATTCTAAGAATTCATAAATAGTTTGCTCTCTAAGCAGACGCTGCCTGAATTTTTTTCCCCAATCAACTTGCATATTCTTTTCTATATTGGGGGATCATGTGCAGATTTTCATTGGCAGCACAAGAACAAAATCTGGAGATGGTGACGTCTTAAGTGAAGAAGAGGCACTATTTGCTGGTTCCAATACAGGTAAAGAAAATATCGTGTTACCATGGAAACCGTGCATAAGAAAAGTCAGTAAAGAGCATGTGAGAGTGATAATTAAGATTTGAAATATACATGTTTTGGGCGGAGCACTTTCAATCAATAGTTTATCCTTTTGAGCACTAATTCAATTTTATTATCACATTTCTTGTTAAGATGTGTGTGGCAAGCGACCCACCCATCCGCCTATTTCAATGTGGCCAAGGCGCAGTGCGGCCCGCGTGGTGGCTGGAATCGAGTCTAGCAATCGCTGGCCGTGGCAGGTCGCCCTGGTCAATAAGACGTCCAAGGAGGCGATCTGTGGAGGCACGCTGATCGGTAGGGATCACATCGTCACGGCTGCACACTGCTTCGACAACGAAGAGTAAGGTTCCATCATTAATCTCATTCATCCCTTCTGATTGTACATGTATCGTCAGATCATAACACGTACATCTTTGTTCTTTTTCAAGAGCCTAAAAACTGTCACCGAGAATTGCTGCCACTTTCATCATTAACGTAACATCATCTTAGAATTTTTCATCAACATCATTACCACAGTATAGTGTCTCGCCATCACCATCATCAATGTTGCCACAACAACATTAACACTACCTCTACTTTCCCTCAATTTTTTGCTGGTCGCGAGGGCCATCCTACATAGTCATCTTTGTACCTGACTCACTGATTGACTCATTGTTACTTGTGAATGTCACTTGTTAATAAGACTTGCTTAATTCTAACCCTAGGCCCTTTTTACCAAGAAACATCCTTAGTCCTCCAAAATTCGCCACAATGTTGCACAAATTACATGTAGGCAACAGTCGAACCCTGATAAGAAAAGTACTGCTGATACATCATCCTGCTTATAATAGCAAAATGTTAGGTCCCAAGTCTTTGTTTTTCTTTGTTTCAGTCTATTACTGTTAATACAAGGTACCTGTTATATACATAACAAGGTAAATTTGTTAAGTCCCAATAAGGACTTTGTCATGAAGGTGTTCCACTGTATGTTCAAATGAATTGATACCCACTGCCTCTATCCTTCAAAATCCTCCAACAGTCCTGCCTCTCAAAATGCATTCGGCCTCAATCCTCCAAAACCCTCCTCTTCTAGACACCATTCAGCCTCAATCCTCCAAGATCAACCAATACTGAATGTCCATGTGCCCTCAATCCTCCAAACTTGTATGTTGCATTCATCCTCGATCCTCCAAAACCGCCCGGAGGACTTTGGAGGATGAAGGTTGGCCCAAATATTTGGCTCAGATGACTCCCTAGACCCCTCAGACGAAATTGGTCTGAGATGAGTCCAGGGTTGCCTAGTCCTGCTTACCAATATCTGTCGTTGTCTCTTTCTGTTTTTCCGAATCTAAAATGTCATCTCCTTTTAATTTAAAACAACTTATTTTTAGCTTTGATTTAAATATCTTGAAAACTTTAAATGATCGTAAATTAAAGTGACTCTTATCGCCGATCTCCTTTAAAGGGAATATACATCATTTGCTTTTGCTGTAATTTTCAGAAATGGATGGAATTGGGGGGTTGGAAATATATAGCAAATATAGTTACACTGACCTTTTTGAGGTTTTGGGTTCGAAAACGCTATAAAAACCAAGAAAAACAATCATTTTCCTGTAGTCTGGTTCCCGGACTCCATATAAGAAGAAACAGAGCAGTTTACATACATTGGGGAATTGTAAGGTCAGGGAACCAGTCTAGCTGGCTCGTGCCCGTTCATAGGTTTGTAATCGATTGCAAACAAGTGCGATGGTCAATTGTGGCCAGTATTCGAAAAAAAGCCAGTTTTTTCCAACGCTGATCGGCCGATCAGCGTTGGAAATCGATACAAAAATACCACTTTTCTTGAAAATGACAGTATACCAGGTGCCATGATTTTACAGGATGCTTTACACTGTCATTCACTAACAGTCCAGCAAGGTATTTCAAAATGATTTGGTAGTTTTATTTTTTGATGTTTGCAAATGTTGTATTTTCCCTTTAAAGATGGCACGAGGACAACATCCTCGTGGTCCTTGGCGAGCACGACTGGTCGAGACCGGAGGGTACAGAGCAGCGATTCCCGGTCGACTGCATCCACATCCACCGGCAGTACGTCAAGGGAATCCCGTACACCAACGACATCGCCGTGGTCAAACTCAAGACAGCTCCGGGCCACGATGTCGTCATCAACGACTATGTGATGCCCGCCTGTATGCCAGAGAAGAATGAGTTTAAAGCGGGAGACATGTGCTTCGTCACGGGATGGGGCTACACAAGTAAGAGCAAATTTTATTACCGAATATTTGAAAAACTTGAAGACTAAATCGATGTTTTTTCTTTGATTGAATGATTGCCCAACTTTGTCTTTGAACTCTCAGATTTTTTGGACTTCACGTTAGGACGACGTCCAAACATCATCAACCAAGCCCGCCTCCCGATCCTCAGTCGTAAGGAATGCCGAGGAGCCTACGGCAGTTTCATCTCCAACAGAATGATCTGCGCGGGTTACCTGGAAGGAGAACGGCGAGCCGACACCTGCAAGGGGGACAGCGGTGGGCCGTTAGTTTGCCAGCAGGTGGACGGGAGCTGGAAGTTGGTCGGAGTTACTTCCTGGGGAGAGAACACCTTCTGTAACCCGTCGCCTCGGGACGCCGTCCCCGGTGTTTATACCAAGGTCGACAAGTACCGAAAGTGGATCGAGAAAACTGTCGACATCAAAAAGTGTCGGACTCGAAGAGCGCCAGTGCTGTAGATTAATGTTAATGTTAACGAGACTATCTTGTCATGATGACCACGGACGCAGAAGAGCGCCTTCTCGTGGTGTGTACATATACATGTATTTGTATGAGCTCAGTGTTTCCCGACTGGCTTAAACTGTTACCAGTCGCTCGGGAGGATTCCAATAGCTTTCAAAGCGTTTCTGATTGCTGCTACAACTTCTTAACTTATGGAAAAGCGTCTGTGATTAAGTCTAGACAATAATAGTAAAGCTAAACGATACATAAATGAGCACTGTCACGACACATTGAGCCATTTATTGTGTATATACTGAGGCTTGTTTATAGGTCCCGTGTATTTCTACCTCAGGAAATTGCATTATTCTCTAAACTGTAAAAACAACGCTGTACAAATCTAAAGCATTGTTGATATTTAAGCTATTTATTGATATATAAGCTATATGTATGAAACTGAAATTACTCTATATGATTATGTATATTATCTCCCTAAATATTTTTATACGTAGAATTCATTATTTATAATCATGCGCATTGCTGGCATTATGTAAATATTGTGAATACAGCCTATTATATCCCAACTTGTCAACATACCGATTTGTCATTTTTGCCTCCGTGGAAAGTTTCGTTTCGTGGGTTCGATCATCGACAAGTTTGAACGAAACAATTACAAACAACAAGCATACATGTATTTAAGAAAAAATACAAAAACTATGGGCTTCTTGAAATTTATCTATGCGAGGTTATTCTTATAGTGGAGTATAAATACACGAATTTATCAATTTGACGTAACAGAGATTGAACTCTCTGAGGTATTGACGTTAATCCTCGGAGAAAGTTGAGGAATTACATCTTTCAGTTAAGTCGACGCCGATCCCTTTCACTCATTCTTAACTCGTCTGAACCTCAAATCTCCCCCCTTTTCACGCACCGTACCACTCATACAATGGTCCGATTGATTTGCGGGAAACGAACACTGGAGTCTATTCTTGCAAAGTTTCCCCACCGAACAAGAGAACACAATGACGTAAAATAATTGTCAAACCACTAAAGACTACCCACCCTTTTAAGATGAGCGCAATTAAGTGTGCGTAATACAAAGTATCTCAAATTCCGGATACAACCGTCTACTTAATTCGGTAAAGTAGACCTAAGAAAAGCAAAACAATGAGACTTTGTTGGTTCGAAAAAAGAAACCATTTATTTTTGACTTAATGACAGAGTTGTAAAGAATGTTGAGTCACAATGCCACACTTAGATAGTGACAATGGGCTTCTTTTTCTTTCCTGTCCATTTTACAACTATAGAGGGCGCTGTTTTTATTTAGACACGTAGTTGCTTCCTCGTACTCTTCAACAAAATTGTTTCTGGTTTTTTTTTCAGAATGGATTTTCAATTTATATGGTATAAAAACCACGTTTATCCCCCTCCTTTGGTAGTTTGATACCCTCTGAGGAAACCTTTTTAATGCTGGTTCTTATCCACACATAAAATGATCCGCTTGAATTATTGTCAACTTCAAGCCGCAAATTATTCGAAATGTAAACGTGGGCGGATTTTCGTTCGATGTCTCATTCAAAAATGAATAACTTTGGTATAATATTTTTAAAAAAAACCCAGCAATTATAAAGATCATTGGGGGACCGGGGGGGGGGGATATTAAACTCGAAAATAGCTCGGGAAAAACATTCCTTCTGTTATCCCAAGAAACACCAACACGATTACGTTAACCTTACTACGGATTAAGGTAATAAATGGTTGTGGTCGCACCTCGATTAGTTCACTCTTGATGGCAATTTTTCAATTTTCTACATAATTAAAAGGGGGGGGGGGTTCCGATCAAATTGACATACATTTTTATCACAAGCTATTTTCCCAAACCGAAGCAGTGATTTACTCTTCGGAAGAAAAAAAATGCCCATTTTCGACAACGACGCGACTCACTCAAGTCTACGTTTACATCAGTGAATAATTGAGATGAATAGCAACTGGACGGGCAAACGAAAAAGAATAATTGATTTTGTAAAGACACGGTAATCCCTAGGCCTTACATTCTGAACGGGATGTCTGGGCATAGCATCTATTGTCCTCCTCCTTTTATGTTTGTCCTTTACCCCCTTCGACTCAGGATGAATAAGTAAACACGACCTTAGGTCAAACGGGGGCTGGACATCGACAAGATTGGTCTCATGGATACAAAGAGTCTTCACCCGAGAAACAAGACGATTCCTGGCTGAAGGATTTCTTGAAGTGGGATTTGGATGTTTCCTTGACGAAATTTTGAAGTATATTTGCTGTCCAAAAGGTAAGAAAACCAAGAGCGTGAGAATACGGCTATTTACAGCGAGCGCAAAGTATTTTGTCATAGGTCAGTCACACCATAGAGCAAGGCCAAGAACACACAATGTCTTAAAATGATTAATTCACTTGTCACTATGTCACTATATTATTTTACATTTGAGTGAACCTAGTCACTCTCCTTCCATTTATGTAATCATAGTGTCCATAAAATCAAATTATTACCCAATAAGTGGATTGCATCATTCACAGGCTGTCAAAATATTGCAGCGGTCGTAAAAGAACATCCTTAGCAACGCCTTAGCAACAGACGCTTCGGCATGCTGATCATGCGCTATCGATATTTCTATACAGTGGAAGAACAGTTTTCATTTATTTTATTTATGTATTATCGGGCAAACAAGATATAAACATTAAAACAGGCCCAAGGATTTCCCAACAGCTAAACAAATCACTACTAAACAGTTCCTAATCACCATCGCTTGAAGTTAGTAAAAATATCATCTGTGAAATCTTTTCTTACATAGGGCCTACAATTTTTTTCGCCAACTGCACAATTTTAAATTCAATTAAAAAACACTAAGCTATTACCTTTCACAGTAGTAAATTTATGTTCTTGCTAAAAATGTAATATGAAAAGTAGCCGTATTGGTTCATTCATTGAGACTTTGATATCAATTTAGTTAATTTAGCACGTTTATTATTCAAATTATTATTTTTAGATCCCACCGTATTCGTCATTGATCGATTATTCTCCAATGTTTTTTTTTCAGTTCGCAATACCTCCAAGATGCCTCAGCCCAAAGGAGACTTGGTCTTCTTCGTTGTCCATCAGAGACAAGACGATCCTACTGAGATTGTAGCGCATCTCGTCAAGCCGGACGGAATGGAAGATCTCAAGTCCTACATGACGGAGAGCGGGTCAGTATTCAAACCAAAACAAACTTTCCCAACTGAAAAATTACATGATTTTAAGATGAGATACTAGCTCAAGGTTGCTCCAAAATCAACCAAAATGTGAATGCCAGACCCCTATCCAATTGAGGTTCGAAATGAAATCGAAGAGTGTCATGGCCTAGCGGTTAAGAGCGCCGGACTCAAGCTCTGGTGTTTCAGAGGCAACAGTGGCGTGGGTGCGAGCCCGGTGACACTTGTCGCTAAGAGAAGGGGTTTGCCCCGGTGTTTCTGGCCTCCTAATAAACCTCTCACGCGGAGTATCATATGAGAAGAACCAACCAAGTAGATCCTTTAATGCCAATAACCACCCTCGAGAAAATGAAGACACCAACTGCCCCCACTGGACCTCAGTCCCGCTTCTGCTTATCCTTTTGCCTTCGCAGGCGTCAGTGTTGCTTTGAGAAGGTTTCTGTTTGCATCGAATCGTCGCTACATCCCCGCGTATTGTTAATTTCTCGTGATTTCTTTTTCAGGTACAAATTATGTGAATCGACCAGGACAGAACCTTTTAAGGCCATGACTAGCGAGGTAAGCAAGAACATCAAATAATTATATTAAATTAAACAGAATTATTCAAAATCAACGGTATAGGCCTAGTTTATTTCTTATATTTTCAAGAAATGGAGACACAATAACAGACCTTTATTATGCTCCCACCATTGCAGTCATGTTCCCTGTATGCCAATAACAGTTCTGAATGATAATGTTTTTTGTACAAATAGGAACCAGACTATTTTCCCCGCTATTTTCAAATATAGCTGCAGCATGGTAAAGTTTCCATGATAACATGATCTACGTTTTGGATTAGAGAGCTTCTAAAAAAAAAATCCTCTGAGTTTATTTCAAAACACGTATTTTAGCTGTGTTTTTTTCCTGTAGAAAAATTTGGTGTAAGTGATATGTCAGTTTAAATTTCAACCGTGATTTGTTTTTTTCAAATCACCCGCAGACATTCTACATTCGTCTCGTCGGAGATTTGGTCGTCAACACTTTCGGCAACCCTAGCTATCGCAGGGACCGCCTCCAGCTCAAATGGTTACGTAATCGAGTCAACAGGAAGGACTTCTTCGTTGAGGGCGTCTACAGGGGGCGTTTCCAAGCCGATTACAGTGGGAAGGTCCTCCTGCATCGTCTCACGGTGCACGCTGGGACGACTAACCGAGGAAGCGGGAGACAGTTTACTCTGAATAACCTGGAGAGCATTCTGGGAGATGTGGTGTCGTCATCAAAGATGGCCATTCCGAAGGTGAGAACTCGGGTGGCTTGACCTTTAAATTCTATCACAAGGCAAAAGGGCAAAGGCGAGAGGTAACAAGGCGGAAAAGGCAGAGGACAAAAGACAAAGGCAAAAGGTTAAAAAGGAAAAAGAGCAAAAAGGCAAGAGGAAAAGGTAAAAATGTACAAAGGTGAAAAAGGCATACAGGCAAGGGACAAAAGCAAAATAGAAGAGGCAATAGACAACGGCTAAAGGACAAAAAGGCAAAGGCAAAATTTCAAAGCAAAAGGTAAAAGGCAGAAAAAGCAAATGGCAAATGGCAGAAAGGCAAACGACAAAAGGCAAGTACGGAATAACCTACATCGTAACATTTTACGTTTTAGGAAAGAGAACATCCTGCTCCTCCTGAAATCCAAGACAGTTTCACTGAAGAAGAGGTCGTTAAAGGTAACTTGCTCTTGCTTATCTATCCTCTCTTTCAAATTTGTTAAACAAAAATGATGGGTTTACAGAACGAATTATCAGCTTCTGATTACCACCACTTGGACAAAAACATTGACAAAGTGGGAGACTGCCAACGTAGGCTTTGATAGCTCAGTTGGAAGAGCGCCGGAACGTTGTTCCGGAAATCGCAGAAATCCCGCTCTCGTTAGTTTCGTAATTCAACCTCGTTGTTAAATATGCACATAGTCCGGTGTCCCTGATGGTTTATTGGCTGCTTCCTCAATGGAAGGAAATCAGGAATGATAATTTTCGGATCTTTCTTGCTCCAATCAGACGTAGTCATCCGAACCATCTCCAAGGATATTCCCAAGAACTGCGTGGTGCCTCTCGCTATGCACCTCTTCGGTCTCTCCGAGGTTGAAATCCTAAACCTTAGTCTCCTCCCGCATCACCGAGACTTTGATGAGCAGCGCTACGCCGTTCTGGAAAAGTGGATGTTAACGATGGGAGAGGAGGCTACCTTTACCAAGCTGATTGAAGCTTTCAGGGCCGTCAAGATGACGTCAGCAGCCATCAATCTCAACAAGAACTTGCTGACCAATGAGCGTAGGTTTTAGCTAATAACGGTTCATTTTATGCTCATTGGCCAATCACCGAAGGTTTTAGTTAATTAAATACCAACGGTTCATTTTATGCTCAGGATACTTAAAGAAGAGCTTTCGTTAGTCACAATTGAACATTCTTAATTCACTTCTATTTTAGGCTTGAAATCGGTTGCTAAGGGACTGCCTGGCGACCTCCAACCTCTAGCTGACGCCGTCAAAGTCGATCTCGAGGAATCTCGTCAGAACTACGTGGACGAGCTTAACGACCATAAGTTTCAGATATTGTACAGATGGCGCGAGGACTCTTTCGAGACTCTCAGAAAGAGGGCGTCTCATACCAAGCTGTTGAGAGCAATGCGCAAGTGCGGAATGGAACTAGCGGCCGACAGATGCACGCTCATTAGCTCAGTGGATGCACGTGACGGTAGGCTCATTTGCATTTAATACAATTATTCAAATTTCAGTACGATTTTTTAGCCTGCACAAAACATAAATTTCGTTTTCCTGTGCAACTGAATTAATAATGTAGTCTATAAAATGTATGTCCTACATTAGATTTTAACGTTAATTGTGATTGTTCGGACAATGTAAGAAGAAAATTGTAGATTTATTGTATTATCCTTCTCTCCAGTCGTTCTACTTCGCGTCATCTCCAAAGACGCCAGCCGCGAGACCATTTACCGCCTGGTACGTCGGTTGGGTCTGACGGAGGAACAAATTGACGGCTTCACCAGAGAACACGGACAGGACTTCAACAAGAAACTGTTCCTCCTGAACTCCCTAGTCGCATGGAAGGACAGCGATGGGAAGGGCGAAGGGGCCAGGTTTGAAGATCTCATGTACGAAATGGAGGCGGTCGGATTGAGACAAAATGCGGATATCTTGGATGAAGAACTCGTCAAGGATAAACGTACGTTTTCAGTGCCGTCGATTTTTAATTTGGATTAAAATCAAATGGACGTTGAAAATAAAACGTGGCTTCAGATATACATGTGTATTAATGGAACATTGATTGAATTCTTTTGTTTTTCTGTCAGGTTTTAGGTTTGCGGCTACGCAGATCGAAAATGACATGATGCAGCCGTTAGCGGACGAACTCCGTGTTGATACCAAACCAATGATGATCGATTACGACGGCGACTTTCTAGCCGAATTGGGCTACAGACTATTGGTGCGCTGGAAAGAGACAAGGGGCAAATACGCCTCACACACGGAGCTGCTGAAGGCTCTGGAAGGCGCCGGGTTGGGCGCCCTCGGGGTGGACGTGGATAAGATGGGATCTGTGAACATCGATAAAGGTAGGTTGATGCTCAGCAGACAACTGCTGTTCTATGATTATATAATTTCACACCTCTCAAAAATGAACCAAATTAAACAAATAGGTGAAAATGATTAATACAGTCGATTCTCGTTAATACAAACTCATTTGGACCAAGCCAAATTGTTTGTTATATCAGAATTTTGTATTAAGAGGAACATCAGTCCCATTCATTGTGCACATAAATGCAGTCGGGACCAAGGCTTTACGTTTGTAATAACCAGAATTTGTATTAACAGAGTTTGTACTAACGAGAGTCGACTGTACATAGAATGCAAGTTAAATGTTGGTCTTTTTGCGACAATATTATCTACTTATTATCATCTTCATCGGGGGTGTAGCGCTTGTGTCCTTCAGCAAGCCATTTTACTACAATTGTTTTCTCTGGCCAATAGGAAACATATAAGCATATCAATAGAGTTGTTTCTTTGTTAAGCGTTGGGAAATTTTTCTTACCAAAACCGTCAGCACACCATGTGTGATTTACTTATTGATAATGATTCAATCGTTCTCAACTTGTTTCTCTACAAGGTGCGATGTGCGATTTTTGCCTCCGATATGTCACAAGTTGGATCCACGTCAGCCGCGCCCATGAGTGGCCCTCCGTGGTCCAGAACATCCCCTCAAACGTCACCCAAGGCCTGGACAAACGCACGGTGGATCTCATCAAGAGACAGCAGAGAGATCCGTGCGACCAGATGGCCAGGGCTTTGATGGTTTGCAGGGAGAGGGGTGTGTTCAAAACGGCAGGGGCACTGGTCAACAGATTGATTGCTTGTGGGTTTGAGAAGACCGCCCTCATGCTGCTGGATGTGTCCAGGTCACAGTATTACTGCACAACACTGCGGCTGGAGGACGTCTAGCAAGAATTTCCAACATTTGAACTCTAGAGAGCGCCCTCTGTTGATAGTAATCAATTTTTGGCAGGTGCAAAAATGCAAAGCTGTTTATGAAGTGATTTTGTAGAAGAATTTTCAGGTAAATGATGATGTCCAAAAATCTGAAGCCTTTTTTTCAAGAACAAAAAAAGGTAGGTGGCACTTCAAATGAAAGGCAAATTTTTAAATGAGCAACAGTTAGGCTGGTCCAATGACACAATTATTGCCCAACATAGTGCTTACAGTAATGCCATCTATGCAATGACTCCTGGGAACAAGACCAAGATGTCGTCCTTAACATGTTAGGAAGTCAACACTGTTTTGATGTGATGAGGTTTTGCACTGAGACTGCACCCTTTCCACTACCTTGTCTAAGGAGCAAATTGTTTTCTTTGAAGAAATTTTATGTATTTTATAAAATTATGACAATCATTTTGTGAAAATCTTTATTTCAAGTGTGAATCCTTTTCTGAATAGCAATTTGACCTTGAAATTTCAGCATCATTTTTTTTTTAAAACAACTGAATATTTGCTGTTGTATGCATTGATATGACCAACAAACTAGATTCATTATTGACCACAAAGTATTATTCTACAAAAAACATGAAAGTTATGAAATGAAACCTTGTTTTCCAATATGTAAAATTGATGCAAAAATGTTCTAAAAACTTTTCATCAGATTTTTTTTGCAATAAATTCTTCCTAAGGTTTGAAATGTTGTTTTTTAAACTATCTGTGTCGTGTTTTATATTTGGATTTAATTGTGACCTGAACTTTTGGTCCAACTAACAAGTTTAAGAATGTTAGCAAAATTTGTAGCACAACTGGGGAAGCGTTAAGTTAGATTTAAGAATGTGGGTGAGATCGGCAGCATTAAAATTCAAAGAAAGAGACAAAATAAGAGAAAATGAAACATTCTTTTAGATATACATGTACTCTCAGTTTAATTAATGTTTGAAATGTTCTCCATTAAGTTTGAAAGAGTTTTTTTTCCCAACGCCTTTTAATCTACATCAAAAATCTAAACTTATAGTCTACTCTGTAACTGGACATTAACAGCAAACCTTTCATGATATTGAATTTCCAACAATCTAATTTACATGAATTAGGAATTAAAATTCAATTCATCAATTTTAGGACCACGTTACCACTCAGCCAAATGCAATCCCCAGAAAACATAACTTTAGATGGAAAAAAACCCAAACAAACAAGAAATTGTATCAGAAATCTTGGAAGCTACACTTAAACTAACATTAAACGCTAAAATATCTACACATAAAAAAATAACAAAATCTGAAAAATTAAAATCACTCAGTACTGTCCTAAGAAAGGACAGATTTTCATAATTTGAGGTTTTTGCATAGTTCTTGCAATCTTTGTCCTTTGCCTACATCTAATGGTGTTAAAAATAACAACCACTTTGAAAAAAAGTATGTAATATTACATGTATATGGAACAATGATATGACCAAATACTGTACAAGTTAAAAATTGATAAAAAATATAAGTATTATCAGAAGTGAAATAGTGTACACACGATGAAAGCATGGTTAATACACAGTTAAAATTATATTAGGTGAATGACTGTGAGCTTTATAGTTATTTTCTGAGCATTTTTCATGACCAATGTTAAATGAATTTTGCGCTGTTATAAAAACCTTTGATCATCTTTATTAATCTTAAATTTGTCTTGAGATTGTTTTTCAGTAAGCTTAAAACAAAACACAGTTATGTACATGTACATTGTACAATGATAATAGGGAAAGAAAAAGTGTCAAGAAGAATACATTATTAAATTCCAGCAACTGGAATTTTAATCGTCACTCATTCTTCACTATAATAAGATAAACATTTTTTGTGAGCTACAATAATACTGTTTTTGTTCTTCACTTTAAAACAAGTTGCAAACAATTTCAAAATGCCAAGAAACTCATTGATGTTGATTGTATAGAATGCACAAAATATGATTTGCAAGACAAGTGTATATCTTTGTGCAAGTCAACAAATCTAAAGAAAAAAAATTCATTCGGAATATACATTTCTTTCAAGCAACATTCAAACATATCTGTAAACGGATTTAACCCACGCCTAAAAATGTCCTCCTTTCGTTTATGCACACTTATTTGATTCGATATAAAATTTGTCAGGGTCTAAAACCACACCTAAACCACGACTCAAATCATCTTACTCCACCAGCACTGGCTCGGGGACTTGAGAAAAAAAACTGGATTAATTTGATACAAATCGTAAAACAAAAAAAGATGCCCTAGACATAACCACGGCCAAGCTCATATTGACCTGGTTGCCATGGTGACTAAATTTTAGCTGATTTGGTATTCGGCGTAGAAACCTTTCTTGCTGATGGTGTCGTCGGACCGGAAGATAAGACGTAGATTCTCTCCTTGTGAGATGATGTCATCAGGAATCTAGTTAAGCAAGATTTCAAGATAATTATTTTTAAGCATCCTTTAGCTAACTCCATGAATGTAATTGCTGTGGAAAAAAATTAACAATATTTGATTAAAGCTTTTAAAAAGTGTGGGACCGCTAATTTATGATCACTTCGACCTGGAATTTATTGTAACATAGTTTGTATTATGGGCTCCGTGCATAAGTAACCCCTCAACGGTTACAAAGGGAAAGTTGGGGGAGACTACTGAGAGCCTAAAGCGCCCTCTACAGTTTGCGCACAAAGTCCATTGAGGCTCGTTTGTTTTTGACTTACTTTATGTCCACAGAAGCGGCCTATTCTCTCCGAGTCGTAGGAGTCCCCATCCAACACCTCCAGCGAATCGTAGTCACATTCTGTCTCGTGTTCGATGTCAAACGATCGGAACATCAGCCTGACTGAGTAACCTTGTGGGGCTAATATCGTCCACTCACAATCCTCCTGCGATAGACCACAAAATAATATATCATTAACTAGGAATTTTTCTTTTTCTTAGATTTCCCTTTTCTATCCCTTCTTTGTGTAGCCCTCACATCGAGCGACCCTTACATTGGACCTTGTGATGGGCAACTCTCATTAAATTTAAAACAAAAGACGATCGTCAACATTATAGTCGAAAGAAGACAGTTTCAGGACCGTGCACTTTTACAACCAATCTCACACAACCAACAGTTCACATCCATAAACAATTTACATAAATGTCCAACCGGATGTGTGCAAATATATATTTGTCACTGTTTGATAACGTTTATCATAAGGAAAATGAAAGTTTTGATTTTGCATTTTGTTTTTGTGACAGCCAGAGAAAGACAAATGCAAAATGGCCAATGGTTTTAGGAATCAGGTTGGCGCTATATTACTTCTCATAGTAACATTACTACCCTCCCTTACATCTTAAGCTACATCACTCTATCCACAGTTGTCATGACAATCAACAGCCAGAATGAAAACATCCCAACAACTGAGCTTTTAAAAACCTCCCACGTAGATGGACAAACTGGACACAAACCTGGCTTCCATAGTTGTTATCGCCGTAATCCGCGTGAGAGTAGAGTTTCTGGGAGACATAGTCTGCTTGCAGAACACCGCCACATACTGGGGAAGAGTTTAAGATCAGAAACAATGTTTTCAGAAAGTGTAAGATCGAAAACAATGTTTTCAGCAAAAAAAACTTTTTAACTTTAGACAGGTTGGGTGGATAGTTATGTTGAGGTAGGAATTTCAAGCTGAATGATTTTGTTCTGATGTACCAGACAGTGTGTCAGAAATACTATGTTTTCCCACAAGGACCACATTGTGTCCTCGTGAAAAACCAATTTTAGCGAAGAAGTTGGGACATACTTTGCGGAGGTAAATCAAACGGACTCCCAAGATTTCTCGTGACTTGAGCCAAGTTTTGATGAATGGATCATGAATGGACCATTCCGAATAATTTGGACATAAGCCCCACCCACTTAGGTTTGGGACCACGTTTGACCAAGCTGCTTTGGTCACCTGACCAAAAGTCACAATCCAATTGGCCAATTAGGCCATAAGCCCCACCCACGTAGGCTTGTGACCACAATTTGATCAGGTGCTGTGGTCACCTGACGAAAAGTTGTAATCTAATTGGCCAATACGCACTGCTTGATGCACAAGCATGCAGGGTCCATTGAAAAAACAAAACAAACAAAAAACGCCAAACTTTGAAATAATACTGACTTGTTGAATGAGTAGCGAAGAATCCTCGCCTGGATACTGAAGCATCGGAGAAGAATGTAATGTACATCTGATTGGTGTTGGCCAGGACAGGATCGGGGATCCTGGTTCCACAGAATCGACCCAGTAGATGACCCTCAGAGGAATCGCCATCGTAGATGACGACGTGGTCGTATGCACACTCAAGATGATGCTCAAGATCAAAATCATTAAATACCTGCAAGTAAAAACAAATGATGATCATCCTATATCCACATATTCCAAGACTTTTTCCCGCAACTGTCATTCGTCCTACTGCTCTTAGTACTAAAACTTTTAGTCTTTAGCCTTGATAGAATTGAACCGACCAACTGATCCTGGCAAGCTCGATGGTCGATTGGTGAGACATCTGCAATTGTCGGCAGGAGGTCGTGGGTTCAAGCCCCATCTGAGCAAGTTTTGTGAATTTTTCTTGCAGGCTCTCGGAAAACACTGAGTTCATCATATGGTGCTAGAACACATTGGTGAAGGGCAACACTTGATATGAATACCAGAACAACTCACCAATTCTACTTTGTGTCCGGGGGTAGCCACTATGTGCCACGTGCACTCTTTGCGCTTAGGGTAGTTGTCGGGGTAGTTGGGACTTGTTATCTCGCCGTGGCTGGAACGAATATCGTGACGACATCCGGCTATCAAATAAAATAAATAATTAAATATACCACAAAGGAAAACTGATTGGGTGCATGCATAATAATTATAAAGTTGATAAAAGAAATTGACTGCAGCGGGATTTGAACCGGCGACCTCTGGAACGCCGTACCTGTGCTCTACCAACTGAGTTATCCAACCCAATGTTAGCGGTCTCCAAATTTCTTTGTTCAAGGGGTTCTATCGTCAGAAGTCACGGTAATATAGTTGATTGTTTTTACTTACATTCTTTGCAATCGTGGCCGTTTTCATGCAGTGTGAATCCATTCCTGCAGGAGCACGTGTAGCTGCCGAGTGTGTTGACGCATACGTGCTGGCAATCGCCGTTGTTCTTCTCGCATTCGTCAATATCTGTGGAAAAAGTGAAACGTGAAAATGTCAGTTGGCCCGTCAAGTTGAAGACGTTGTAATTAGACTCAAGTTGAAGCTTTGTAAAAGTCAAAATGACAAATTGCTTGTAAAACATTGTATAATGTAGAGCATGACTGTCACTATCTGAATGCAGTCAACAGAGGGCGCTTCTGGTATATCACATGACCACACTACTGACCTGCAAAGAACATGGCAAAGAATCCTGGTCTGGACACGGTGCTGTCAGACTTGAACTCGATTCTCATGTTGTTGTAGCGTGACGTGATGGTGTCCGGAATATCATCGCCACAAAACTTGCCGTGAAGATCGCCAACCTCAGTCAGGCCACTACGGACCTCCACGTAGTCGTACTTGCAAACCTGAAGAAGAGAATTAAATAGGAAAAAAACTCCCATGATTGGCTGAAGTCGTTATGAAATTTTTTAAAAATCAACAGAATTTGTCATTGATGCTACAGAATGATGACTAAAAGACAAGTAAATCCTGTGTATCTGCCTTGGTGCAAGTTAAAAAAAATCTGTATCAACCAATAGCTTTTGATGTGGTGTTTGCTGAAAAGGTACAAGGAATGTCTTTGTTAAAGTTCAATTTAAAATATTGTGACCTTCCTTGGGGACTGGATGACTTGTGTGGACTTGTGACGACTTGTGAAGATTTGTGAGGACTTGTGAGGACTTGTGATGGACTTGAGAGGACTTGTGAGGACTTGGGAGAATTTGTGAGGACTTGTGAGGACTTATGATGGACTTGAGAGGACTTGTCTGGACTTGAGAGGACTTGAGAGGACTTTTGAGGACTTGCGAGGAACTTGTGGGGACTTGTGAGGACTTGTAAGAAATGCGATGGACTCAACTACAACACTGACTTCTAGCATGTCTAAATGAATGAAAATATGATCTAAAGTCTATTTTCTTCAATCCTAAACAAACTACTGATGACTGTTATTTTCAGTACTTACGTCGTTGCCTTCCAACTCAAAGCTCAGGAACTGGAGCGAGATGCGATACAAGGACGGAGCCACTAGATGCCAGACACAGTTCTTGTCTCGAGGGTAGAGGTCAGGGTAGGAGGGACTGGTGATGTTACCTTGGAGACTGGTCAGGAAACCGCCGCAGGCAACTATCGACCAATCAGCATCAAAGAAACTTGGTTGGTTGGAGATTTGATCATACTTGGAATGTGGGATATTTAAAACAAACCATACATATGAGGAGCGCCGTGGCCTTGTGGTCTTGAGCATTGTACTCAAGTTCAGTGTGTAACCCTGCAGGTTGTGGGTGCGAGTCCAGCCTGGGGATGTGGTGTGTGTGTCCTTGGGCAAGGCACTTTGTCACTACTTACTACTCCTCCCCACCCAGGAGTAAATGGTATCTGTGCCAAAATTGGCAGCATCAAGCTGTATACTCCCAAGGGAGCTGAGATGGTCTCTGGAATATTTCCTGGGGTAATAATGACGTAGCACCTAGACCTCCAATTTTGGTGGATGTGTGCGCTTTATAAACACACATGAATATTGTTAGTTTCAATAACAGTAAAATGTTGTGCATAATAAAAATTTGAATTTTCACAGAGAAAAAAAATACTGATGACAAGCCAGCCAGTCAATTCTTACCTTCACATGATTCTCCATCCGCTTTGAGTTCAAATCCAGGCTCACATTCACAGCGGTAACTTCCGATGGTGTTGACGCAGATCTGCTCGCAACCTCCGTTGTTCTTTGAACACTCGTCATCCTCTGCAAAACACACAAAAAAGGAAATGTTAAGCATTAAGAATGAAAGCTTTTAGTTCAAATTCTGAATTTCAATTAACTTCTGAGTTCCACTGCTCTCGAACAGTAGTCCAGACTTACATAAAGGGGAGTCAGCTTGGCGTAGTGGTACTTTCCTCGCCTTCCACGGCTGTGGCCCGGGTTCGATTCCTGCCTGCGCCAATATGTGGATTGGGTTTTCAGTCCCTACATGATTCTGTGGGTTTGCCTCAGAATATACTTCCGGGGTTTTCCTCCCACATCTAAAAAACTTGTAATTTCTTTACATTGTCTTCTCTTTACTGGGCCCCGTGGGAGACCAATATAGTCCACTGAATGGGCTACCCAGTTAAAACAAGAAATAAAGAAACTAACTAAATAATGGTAAAACATACATCTATTTCCTACACATCTGTTGCCAAAGTTCTATTGTTCTAAAGTTCTATTGGCATTCCTTTGTCATTGTCCAACCGGACTTGTGAATTGAATTGAGATCCATCACAAATACCTCTCCTACAACACTGCCAATGCACTTTTTACCTTTGAAGAAATCGGCGGAGAACCCCCCTTTGTTGACGGTCCCGTCCGACACAAACTTGACTCGCAGCTTGTTGCTGGAGGACTTGATATCCTCGGGCATCAGGTAGCCGCAGTATTTGCCAATTAGCGGTGAGTCATCCTCATGGCCGTCGCGCACCTCCACGTAGTCGTAGATGCAGTTATCATGCCGCTCCACCTGTTGGGCAATATTGGAGAGAAGAGCTTCCGATATGAGTGGGTGGCACCTGTCGCAAGGGCTTATATTTGCTGAGTTTAGTTAGACAGGGGAACATTAAGTAAGGCTTGAATGTCTGCATGGTGCAGAGTTATTAGGTATAGAGATAAGGGTAGGACTACAAACTTAAGAATCTGTTTTTTGACGACTGCACGGTTTTCAAGAGGTTCAATAACTTGCTACGGATCGTACGCTCTGTCCATGTTCAAGAACACATTGCCCAAGCCTTACAGTATAAAGAGGCCTTGCGGAAAAATGATGCTTTACGCAAATATCCTTGCCTATGAACTGCAGCGGAAAATGGCTTAATCTGTTTAAGATGTCTAAATAGTGCCGTTTTCAATTTCAATTTGGCCCAGTTTGTGTGGAATTTGTTCCGCAAGAATTTATCCACGCTTGAAATTTAAAAAACAAAATATTCCAAAGTTAATTTTTTTTTTACAAATTAAAACATATTCTGAGATAAAAGTAAGATATTTGGGCTACAGCTATTCCTGCTTAACTGTTTATGAATTGTCTGTCTAGAAGTAAGGGTATCATGAAGTCAGTGTCTTCCTGTTTGTCAGTCAGTCTACTTCTCCGTGTGTTTGTCCCTTAGGGGTCTAAGTCTACGACTTCCCTACCTCGAATGATTGGAAGTTCAGCCCGACTTGAAAGCCCTCTGGCATTGTCAGGTACCACACACAGGACTTGTCTGGCCTGTAGTCATCCGGGTAGTTGGGACTCTGTAGCATGCCCGATTCCTTGGAGATGTTGCCCCCACAGACCGCTGGAATTAACCCAAAATAATTTTTTTGAACCGTGGCTCATCCATCAACATTGCATATCAAAACTTGGTTTATTTTATTTCATGTCAAGCAAGGCTTGTTTTGATACTACCTCAGCCACTGACAACAAACATTTTCATCAAGCAAAGTTTAATCCTTTTATAGGGATGAATTGTCAGTCTGAAGAACATCATGTCTGATCCTTGATCCCTATTGGCTGTTCCATGGCAACAGCACTGTGGTATTCCCCCCACACTGCACCGAATGTGTAACATATACTATCTAAGATGTGCATGTTTCCTGCTACCATACACATATACAAATGTAGATAACAGCTGAAATTTGACCACATACAGCTTTATGCAACTTTATGCTGTATGATTCCTCAAAATATTTTAATCACTCCTCCGATTCCAGGTTCAATCTCAACCTCCTCACTACTGTGTATGACACTACCAGAGACCCCTCAGAAGGGTGGGCATCTCCCTCCCCTCCCCCCCATCCTTCCCTCCATCTTCACCCATCATTTGTCGTACCTTCGTAGTGAGCCGCGAATCCCCTACTGACTGCGTTACCGGTCGGCGAGCTCTTCAGCTCAATCCAGAGCCGACTGTCTGTTGAGACGATCACTGGGGGGATGTTGCTACCACAGAACCTTCCTGTTGGGATGAAAGGATAGATCAGTGGCATAGATTTGTGTCAAAATGCAAAAATAATATAATTTTGCAGGGGGACCAACTTCAAAAAGGAGATTTACTGGGTTTGGGGGAGGGGGGGATGACTTTATTTCATTTGACACTAGGTGGAGCTGTTTATGACAAAAGTCATTAAGTTGAATGTTAAGTTTAAATTTCAGAAAAAAACTTGACTGTTCTTCTTTTCTTTAAAAATGCACATTTCTCACAAATGATTTTATGAATGAATAGGCATTGAGTTTCGAAAGGGGGTTGGAGAAGTAGCCAATCATACTACAGGTAAGGCGGCATCGTCAAGGCCATGGCATAGCAACCAATGAGATTTTAGAATCGCCCAGGTCACGTATTGCCTGTCCTCATATACAAGTGTGATAGGTCATGTCTCTAGTCTTCATTATTGATAACTTAATGATTAATGGTAACTGGCGCCACCATCTGAAACAATTACAAGCCTTTACATTCAAAAGATTTACTGCTGTAGTCATTAGAAAAGACTAGTCAATTGCAAATTACAAGTACACAGCGTTTCCCGGTCTAAAACCAATTTCTTTTTTGGTCAACTTGAGTCGCACTAAATTCATTCTGTTGCAGCTTGACTTTAGAACGCCAGTCACTGGGTGACAAACAGTCCAAATCTCTAACCTAAAACGTTGGAAAATCTCCAGTGGCCGTCCCTGACTTCGACGTGATGGTACCAGCAATCGTCGCTGCCAACCAGCTCAAAGTCCTCAAAGGTCAGGACAATAGTCTCCCCGGGAGTGACGGAGATCCGCCACACGCAGGACTCGCGGCTGTTGAACTGCTCCGGCCAACCGGGAGAGCTGAAATTTCCTGTTGTTTCTTGCAGAGTGCGGCCGCAAGCTGGAAAGGGGGGGGGGGGAGATATGGAAGGGGGAAGTGAGGAAGTCAACAGGCAGGTGGAATATTGATACCAGAGGGTTCCAAGATTGAAAGAAGTAGAACACTTGCGGTTTGAGCTTGCCGGATAAATGTTTCCGAAGTAATCTATTTCCGAGCTTTGACAAAGCAGAACTGACTTTTTTTGGGGACTAATTTAGATGTTTTCAAGATGAAGATTGTGATCAGCATGGACATGTGTCAAAAAATATTACTATCAATCTCAGTCACAAGTAGCTTCGAACAGCAGTCAAGGATATAGTTCAATTTATCAATAAACGTGATGTTAATTTCTGAAAACTTGATGCCAATCAACAGTGTACAACAACGTTAACAGAAAAACAAAGAAAAACATATCCTTTTTCAGAGCTGAAAATAAATATGAAAACAACTTCAGTATATGTATCTCCATGTTTCGAAACTAAACCTAGCCAATTTCACGTTCAGTTCTGTAAAAGATTTGACATTAACCATGACATTGAAACTAGACACATAGCTCAGAGAACCGCTTCTAATAGTCACAAAACTCAAAAAGTTACAAGAGGATCACACTCTTAATACTGTCACAAACTCTGGCTGTTTTCTATAATCTGTGTCCTTTCCAAACTAAACGACGTCTATCCATTGTGATAAACCCACACACTTTCACTTGTATCAAACTCAAAAGCTCTGTCCATAATCTATCAATCTATGAGACTGACTTGAGAAAGCTACTTTTTCAAGAGCTACTTGAGACACCATCATCAATGTCAGTGATATCTGGATACTAGACCAAATTCTCAAGATCTGATGATAAATTCTTAAGATGACAGGCAGAGCAGAACTACATGGTGAGTGAAGCAATCGAGTTGTTGACTTCTTTTCAATGATGAGTGCTTTATTTTTATCACAACTGTTTCATAATCTTTTATCATGAATTGCAGGAAAGGTTTGACTGAAACTTTGCAAAGTTTCTTACATCCCCCCCTTTTTTTAAACTATAAATTCCTGTTTTGGAAACTTAAGTTGGTGAATCTATAGCATTATGCAGGCCACAAAGCAGATTTTATGAGTTGGTTATGAGTTGGTTATGAACATGGTGAAGGTTTGAAAACCTTCATGTTCTTACTTACATCTAATTCGTCCAACTTAAAATATTCTATGACATATCATTTTTTGTGATTAAAATATTCTATGAAATATCATTTTTTGATCAAACAATGTGACGATATTGGTGTGATGTGACGTGTAACATGCACTTTCACACAGTTGCACAGACAATCTAGACCAACATAATATCCAAGACACGATCGATCATCAACATATGGATACATACCCGGGCATTTGTACAGCAAGTTGGCCTGGGTAATGTCGCCCTCGCTCAGCTGCTTGCGCTGACCGATCTCTATCTCCGCCCGCGGCACGGCGTCCGGATCTCGTTGAGGGATGACCGTGTCCAACCAAATTCCCCTTGAAAACGTGTTCCTGGCGTAGTGCATGATGCTGGCAAAGTCGTACGGCTGGCCTAAGGAGTCCACTTCCTCCGGCAGAAGCTTGTTGAAGTTATACTCCTGACCTGGGGAGTCAAAGTATGATACTTTAGAAATTGGAAAGAAGGGCCAAGTTTCTTGTGGTATCGCAAGTTCGACCGGTGTGTTGGATCAGAATGTCCAATTTGGCAGTAGAGTGGAAAATAGGGTTTCTATATGTTAAATTACCATACAATTGCGTGCAAGTGATCAATCCAAAAATAGTTCTTATCTGGCTTAAAATCATTTGTAGTGTCAGATATTTGTCCAACTCAAAATAAAAAAAATATTACAATACTAAGCAACTGCTTCAGTTTTTAAGGATTGCTTCCACAATATCTTGAGTCTACAAAAAAAAAAATGGCATTGCCTACTCGTCCAGTTCTGGGAAAACAAACAAAGAAATAAACAAAAACAAAAAGCAAACAAACACAATTCCCCAAACAACCACAATATTATTTCAAGAAAAGTTCTTGAAATGTAGACAGTTGCCTCAAATGTTGGCTTTCACAAGCTCAAGTTTTAACCAAACTGGGAGTTTGCCTTCTAAACTTTTGAAATTCATCTTTAAACCAACCTAGTTGACAGTGACTTCTGAAAACCATTTTAACCCAAATGCCACTGACCAGTAGCACTGGTCCAAAGCTTATAAAAAAGAGCAGATTTTCCTGTTGATAGATCTTGGGGATGGGCAGCATGGTTCTATGAACCCAATTACCGGAAAAACGTTTGAGGACAATTTTTAGCGAAACACTTGCGAGGGCTAGACAAACACTGGCACTCCCCACCGCAAGGGAGGCAGGACTATTTCCTAAATCAATCACAGCAACCGTTTATTTGGCCATGTTGAAATGACCGCAACTCATGCGTCAGAGAAAAAAAGAGCCGCGGAGAGATTTGTCGGGAGACAGTTACGGGTCAGATGCTTAAATCACAGGGTGTCGACGCTGTTTTGCTAATTAGAATGTAACTTGCACTTTGGTGAAAGAGAACACCAGATTTCCGGACCCACCTTTGGTTTGTTTGTTTTTAAGAGAAGTAGTCATGCATTTTGTTTCTGGATGGCCCAGATTTCAAAAATAATTTTCTAATTTAACAAGTTACTTAATTACTAAATTTGTGGTAGTTTTTTTTAGATATATTGTTTTTATGTTACTTTTTAAAAGGATGCCAGTAGGCCTATGTATTCTTAAAGTGGAAAAACTTTGCAAACAAACTTGAACAACAGAGTTGGCCCAAACCTACTAAGTTTCAGTGAAAGAGACTTTAGAGCTCCACCAATACATTAGTATTTTGCCTTTGCATAATTGCCTTTGGTAATTCCCTACATTGTGTCAACCAATCACAAATGTACAAATTCTCCATAACCTTCACAAAAAAACCCAAAAATGTTCATGTATTCAAGCATGTCAACTCCCGGGGCTGGTATTTTTCAGAACTCAATAACACACCGACCCTGAGTTTTATTAAAGTTGTATACTCCATAATAAAACCAGGCAGAGATTCTTAAATCATTCTGGACATTTTTCAACCCAAGGTTATACAATTTGTACATAATTTGCAGCATTTTTTTTTGTTTAAGCTGGCATTTTTTTGTCTGACAGGTAAAATTATTCATGGCCATAACCATTACCCAGATGGATATATCACACCTGTTGATTCAAAACACATCAATGTCACACTGGTCATTAAAATGACTCCACAAAACAGGTGCATCCAGGCTGAAAAATGAAAGGAAAAAGGCTTTCCTCTTGCCTAAAAGACAGGTGTTTTTTTTTAAGCAATCACTGATTTTCAGGATGTGAACATCAGGATGATGTTCTCATTCTGAGTGCATAGTTTGTTAAGAATAGATGTAATGTGGTATTTCAAATTCTTAACCAGTTTGCGTCGGAGGACATGGGAATAGGCACTGGCTGTTTTTGTTCACAGGCACGACTGACGGGCTAATACGTCAAGATTGCCTGCCTCGACTCGCCTCCGGGTGACGTCTAAACAGGCTAATCCCTCGAGTCTTGTACACGCACACAAAGTCTGTGAAGTCTGTGGAGTGCGGACCATGTGTTGATCTTGAATCGGCTGTTATGCATGGCCTATTGTTCTACAATTTACACTCCAGTGCACACCCAGGAGTCGTGAAACATAATTATGAGGTTTTGGCAATTGTCCTACAAATACTGTTGAAATGACTCTTTTGAATCAGCATTGGTGGTGTTTGGTTGGAAAATTTTGCCTTTTACGAAAATCAATACTTTCTTTGAAAATAGTCCCGACTCGAAGTGGTTAAGAGGTAATACGTGAAATTTGCTCGGATACAACAATTTGACAGAAAACTAAAGACTCACGTGATTTTACGCCCCAAATAATAAGCATTCCTTGATGAAAGATATGGTTCATGGTAGTTGGTACAGGCCAAGCTGCTTCAAAGTTTCCTTCAGTTCTTACACTGAAACTTGACAAGCTGCACCGATCAAACTCAAGTATTCTTTTGTCATAACACACTCAACTCACAAGTCCAGTCACGAATAACCAAAGATTAGCATTAACAAAAGAATGCCTTCATCACAGCTCATTTGAATAGCTTTTGATGCACTTATGATGGATTTACGACGCACTTGGGATCCACCGCAAGCACCTGGACCACAACACTGACGATTGACACTCATATCTGTCTGAGAACACACACTCTTCACATTTCAGTCTGGCAAGGAGCAATGATCACACTCGGTGACCCATTTAAGAAAAAAAACTCTCTCCCTTCATCAAGAGGGTCCATAGAAGATCCACGACCGACATGCTCCAGAAATCTGCCTCTTGAAAGCTAGACTAATCTGCAACACTTGACAAGTGCGAGGAGGCTGATTGGAATTCATACATTGGACATCTTCAAGTGGCTGAGTAAGCGATGACTAAGAAGCCAGAAATGGATCACATACTTCATGGCCATCATGAATAATTTCATTTAGGTAAAAGTGAACCCCCCCCCCCCCCACTTATGGACATTATTGCAGATGTCTGGAAAATACAAGTGCTTTTTAAATCTATGTTTTAATTTCAACTTGCTCAAATTAATTTTGGAAAAAGAAGGGGAGTCCAACATCCCTTCAAAAATATACAGCTGCAACCCAACAGCATCATCACCGAAACTCAGAAAAAGGGGGCTGACCAAAAAATATTTTTTTTTACCCATCATATTAGTTTTGATCTCTGCTAGACCCCAAGACTATCCTATTGTCCTCTGACCGAGGTCCAGCTCAATTAGACGAACCTAATATTGTTTTGCATTGATCTTGGGAATTTTACTTAAATCTTTCGCTTGCTTGAGCAAGTATACTTCAAACCCGGTTTATATCAGATTTTTTCCACTGAAATTCAAGCTTGATAATATCGCAGCAGCATGTTTGTTTTTTGGTCTCAAGTCTCTAGGGGGAATCAAAGCTGTATCCACCTGTGTCAGACTGGCACTCCCTCCATCACACATCATGCACATGACTGACCCTCTAATAGCCATAACAGCAAGGTCAACCTAAACTATGCATCAAAGAAAGTATGTTAATGGTAGAAACATTTATAGTGCCTGAACCTGCAACATTTCCCCCTCCAACCAAAAGGCTAAATGATGCTATTTCTCATTTAAACAAACCAAGCATTTTTAGCCACTTGTTATTCTCAAAGGTTTTCACATTTTTCCCCCTCTGCCCTTTCGGTGGGGTTGCGGGGATTAAATAAACAAGAGATTTCAATTACAAAATGTTGGCGTCGGCCGTTTTTCAGTTAACCCCTTAATCTGTATTCAAGAAAAGTTTCGTGCAGAGAATGTTAAAATACATCTGGTTTTCGCATCAAACCTGCAGGAAACTAAATTCGGTTCAAAAATGAACAGAGGTTCAAAGCCCGAATACACTTTTCTGTACCACCTTTCTGTTATTAGATTGATCGATATCAGAACTTTGAGTTCCTGGTTTTTTTTTTTTAAATTTAAAACTTTGTTCCTCAATGCAAAAAATTATAAGAATTTAATTTTAGAGGCTGTTTTGTTTAATGAGGATTTAAGGGGAGGGTAGGCTTCTTATAGCACAAACGAAAGAAAAATTTGTCAACTTGCAAATACTAAAAATATACCCACAAAAGATGACAAACCATACCTGGCAAAATATTTTCCTTGACGATGGTCACGTGATCATCTCGGTCCGGTCGGGTGTGCTCGTGCCAAAAGCCGACCACGTGGCCCAACTCGTGGACCACGACGCCAAACTTGTCGCAGTTCTTGCCGATGGAAATGGCCTGTGCCCCCTCTGCCCTCATGCCGACAAAGGAACAGCATCTTGAGAAAACAAGGGAAGGTTTGGGAAGGCGAAGAGAAGTTATCATTCCAAATTACATTTTCACGGACGAATTTTGTAGGGAAAGGACCACAGAAAAGCTGCACAGAAATATGCAAACAGTAGCTGTGGATTTGGTCTCAAGATTTTGGTCTCAAGATTTTGGTCTCAAAATTTTGTCTCAAGATTTTGTCTCAAAATGTCTGTCATTTAGATATTACCATAATTTGATCCAAAAATGTTTGCATGGTTTAAATAAAGCCAACTCCTTTCTATGCTTTGTGTCACTCTTGTTTAAGATGCTCCAAATTTCAAATAATTGCTTCCTCGGGAAGGGTTCCATAACCCTCCCGGGTCCCGAGCAGTCGGCAAACAGTTAATTTAATCCTTCCTCAACTTGACCTCCTACAACCCGTGATTCAGATATATTTGTATCTCATTTCAAATCTCTGGGAATCTGGGGAGGGGGGGGGGGGGCGGTAGCAGGAAGGGGGAGGGGTAAAGGTAGGAAAGGGGGGTCCATAAGGAAGAGGGTCATATTCTGGGGGTTGGGATGCCAGAGGGTTTAAGCAAGGGCCAAATGCAATGACAGTGCCAGGATATTTATGAACTTGTGAACCCTAGATCGGGCGGGGAGGGGGGATGCCTGATTTGTTACACTCAAAGAAAGGGTCGAAATCTTGCTCCAGGAAAGCCAAGAATTATAATTTATATTTTCTTACCCGCACGATCTGTAAGTAAAGACAATGTAATTCCGATGCTGGGTAGGGCTTCGTTCGACAAAAGTGATGCATGTGTAGTTTTCCCAGTGTCTCATGGCCTGCTTGAACATAGCTCGTTGTGAACCTGCCAAAATCAACACCAAAAAATTAATAAATTATGTATGATAAATTATTGGGGTTTATTGTCACCTTGCTCAGTCAATACTAAACAAATACTTTGTCGATTATATGACAGATTAAATAAACTAAGTGCTCAACCTAAAGCCCGGTTCATACTCTGCGCGAAAGCGAACGCGAGTTTGTGACATTGTGGCAAGTATTCGCGCTGCAAATTCATAAAAGTTGAACATATTTCAACTCGGGCGAATTTCGCAGCGAACGTCCCATGACGTCAAATTCGCTTCGCATTCGCATTCGCGTGAAGTATGAACCGGGCATAAGAAAAACTGATTTTTGAGATTTGAATTATAAGACCTATTTTGAAAGGTATTGTCTTTGCCAATGTGTTTTATGTTTTGACAATTGAGGGACCGATTTATTCGAAGTTTTATAAAATAGTACCTGTGAAATTTCCATCGATGACGTACGGGATTACGCCATACGGCCATTTTCTCTCGGGTCTTGATGTCACTGCTCTGGCCACTCGGTGATGCGTTTCCGTGGTAACCTCATCTGTACCTCTCTCAGTTTCCTCTTCTTCTGAATTTTACCAAAACAAAAGTGGAGGGGACAATATCAGCGAATGAGTAATAAGAAAAGATAGAAGCATTTGTGTTGTGATTTTGACCATGTTTTTCGGAAATTAACAATTCTACCAATTGTCCATTTATTGTAAAAACATGATTTGAATCCGGATTTGAAATTTTGAATCAGCAATATTATTTTTATTTCCATGAAAACATGCTTAGTAATTCCCATCTCCTAAAAACAAGGACAAATTCCCAAACCAAATTTCAACATCAAAGTAGGTGACTGACTACAACTTTTCCTGGAAGATTCAAGTATGATGGATATTTACAGCATGAACTTCATGTCCTGGTCATTACTTTTTGAGGTCACGTTTTCCTGGGATCATGATTTATTTTATAGCCACAGTAAATCCGGACCACCCAGAATACAGTTCATCTTTTCAGAGGTTATTGTTTTCAACTAGAACCACTGCAGATATTAACTTTCAAAGACAAAAATTGGTGGTTTTTGTTTTGAAAAATTACATTATTTTGGTCTCATGAGCAAAATCTGTTGTGTGAAGTTTATTTTCATGACGGACAGAGCCGTGCCTTTTCTGCCTTTTCTGCCTTTTCTGCTTATAGGATTAATAATTTTATGATTACTTCCTGTTAATGTTCCCTTAATCCCTTAAGGAGACATTTTTTCGTCACAAGTTATACTTTAGGGAGACACCGGACATTAGGGAGACATTTCAATGTTAAAGTTTCACAGTTACTAGTCACTAACATGTCACTAACATGTACTTTATTCCCTATGTTTTTTTTTTAACGGAGCGAGTCACATATTTTTTAACATATTTTTTTCTGACTCGGTCACTTCCTTTTTGACTCACCCTGTATATAAACCTTTTCTCATATCAAAACCATATGTGCAACGACTTTTGGAATAAATATTTGCCAATCGTTATCAGCGAGGGTCACAAAATTCATAATTCTCCGAACTTCTTAAACTGACAGAATTGGTACGTTAATTGAGTTGTCGTGCCCCAAGTGTGCCACAAGGCTGCAATGCATGCTGGGAGTGCTTCCTGTCCTTTTAACCTCAACGCAGCTGTGAGTTTCGAGGATCTGACACTATCTTCCTCATCTGTAAATTTGCCCCCCTAGAGAGGATGCGGTGGAACTTAATGAAGAGGAAGGACAAGGATTTGGTCGAGGATTCCAAGGAAAGGGAACCCTGGTCTGGCAATAAAGAACCTTTACTCGGGATCTAATTAATTATGAAACTTCACAGCAGAAAACCGTTATAAAAAAAAGCACTGCTATGTAGAACAGTTGCCTTTTGCTCCCAAATACCTAGCCTTGTTCCAGGACTGGATTTGCTTTTTATTCCCCTATTTTGCAGCCAGTCCCGTGACAAATGCGGTTAAGTTGCTGCAGTGGTGGAGGTATCTATCAACCAGATGAATCAAATCCACTCTTGGTAATATTGGCAGCGCTACCCAGGAAATTCTGAGCATACCTCACGCGCATGCATTAGCTTGAATACAATGCACATGAGGTGTGCGTGGAATGTCCTGGGTAGCGCTGCCAATATTGCCAAGACTCGATTTGATTCATCTGGTTAATAGCGACCTCGCTTGTCACGGATTGACCTGCCTACCATCCTGTATCATTACAGAAATAAATGACAATTCACTTAGATGGAAGCTGATCAACATCTAACTTTGTGTTTAAAAGTTGCACTTGACAATCCACAGAATTTGAACCTGTCATACACTCTGAAAGACTTAACTGCAAATTTTCAGAATAAACAAAAAAACTTCAAATCTATTCATCCCCAAAGTAAAAATATATAGATTGTTCAAAGGTTTCCAGGCCAACAAATTCTGATAACTTTTTCACAGCTTGGATTTCAGGTTAAGCCCCAAGCACAAAACAATTTACATTAATGCTCAGGATTTACGACAGATCCCAGGGAATCCGACATGCCAGAGTCACGAAAGTTGGTAAATCTCGCCCAGGTGGCCCGATACGTTTACAATGGTTGAGATTTATTGCAAGTTTTGATGGTTGGAGTCCTTGGTAGAGACAGTACCTGGTCCGGTAAACATTAGATTTGCACAAGTCACTTTATCATCCCATTTCCTGGGATGCTTGTGACACTGAGGTTAATGCCCCTAAAAGTAAAACTCTCCTTGGCCACACAGCATTAGAACTAAATTGGAAAACCACTAAAAAAGAAAATGGAACAAGTTTTTAGTTGACATTTTCACAAGATAGGGCTACTCTTTTGAAGCTGTAAAATGTTCAACTCAACAATTAACTCTATATTTTCCCCCGAAAACGATGTGCTTAAAAAGTTAGAAATTGATAAAGTTGTGAAACATAAATTTACTTTCAGCCCTTTACAAAACATGTTTTCCTAGAATCACGCCCAGTTGGCATGTTGAATACTGTACAATTATGTGGTTCAATAAACGACCAATCATGTGGGTCAAAGACATTAATTTGTGGGTTAATGTTAATGAACCCATGTCTACCGACAAGCCGCCCTGAAGATCACATGCTCTATTGTCTCGGAAAACGTTAGTCCTACCCACACGCAATATTGTGGTTGGCTAAAGCTAATATCTCACATTATTCAATCCTTAAAACATACTGGTGGTCCAGCATATTTTTTTTCATCTCAACCTAGATCAAAATGTTACATGGGTTCACATCCCACCGAGGTCAACTAAAAGGTTAAGAATGATAACTGATAACTAATCATTATCATCTGCAATCTTTGGGTTCCCATCCCACACAGGTCAAACATTCAGTCAAACCTGACAATGGGATGCATGTCAACCATGAACTGTGAAACGGGTTCACTTCCCACTCAGTTCACACGAAGGGTCAACATGCAGTCATACCGGTACAGTGACTGACGAATTAGGAGATTGATCATTCAACATAAACCACATACACATGATATTTATTCCAAAAGTGATCCACTACCAATGCATTTACAAACATGTACAATAACAATTCAATGATATTACAGTATAACATCTTTAAAAAGTATCAACTTTACACAAAAGTACATCAAAGATTAAAATCGACCGTAGACTCTCTACTCTGTAAATAGATGATCTTTCCTCAAATGTTTAGATTTTTTGTCAGTTCCTAGAATCTTAACCAATAAAAAGTTTAAACTGAAATGAAAAATCGTTGCTAACCAACCCCTTGCTAGTCTACTGGTGACTTTAATTGCCCGCAGGTGCCCAATTTATAGTGTTTATCTCACCTGTTGAGAGTTTGGAGGTGTTTGCTCTGACACGAAGCTATGAGCTGATGACAGGCTGTACATGTTACAGTTACCTAATATCAGGGCAGGTGGCAGAACAGTCAGCAGCTGGGGTAACCTTGCCACAGGGGCTGACTTTTTAACAAGTTTGCTGGCATGTTTAACAAATTGCTAAATTGATGTTTGCAGTCAAGTTGGTGTAGGTTTTCCCTGGAAGACTGCTTGCACTAAAGATTCAGGGAAACTCAAATGCTTAATGAAAAGTCTTCAGTTTTTCCCCGTTAAACTAAGCAAGGCACTTACAAGCATATTCCCTTTTTTAAGCCAGTTTAAAAACCTGGTTATATTTACACGTACAAGACTTTTATTTAAAAACGTGTACTGCTTGAACAATACTCTATATTTTCAGTTGTCACTGGTTTAAACAATGGACACACTTATATCTAAACGAAGAGTCTACCCCCTTTTCATAATTTTGCCTTCTAAAAGTGAACAACACTTGTCCAACATCACAAAAAAATTCAACATAATTCCAGGAAAGAAACTGTTAATAACAATCGGATGATGTCACACCAAAAACTGTCATGTCAAGCTGTATCATCCAAATTTCAGATCCAAGCAAGGCCACGGCACTTTGCACTGCAGCGTAAAATATAATTAACAACTTCCTATGTTTATACTAAAAAAGCTGCAGTGTGACCTTCCCACACCATTTGCCTCGTTATTCTTGCGCCCATAAAATCACAATATACAAATGCAACTCTGTGCACTTAGCAGGAAGGACTGTGTATCAGCAGTGTGTCACACACAATCTCGCTTGGTACCTTGTTTTAACTTCATTAACTTAAAAGTACTCGTGTGCTTTTTTCATGACACTTGACAGCATCCCTGAAGGTGCTAGTCTCTAACCAAAAAAAAAAAAATTAACGAAATAATTGCAAAGAAGAGGTAAGTTGGAATTAATCTATTTTGTGAAAATGTGTGGTCCCGAAAAGAACTAGTAGTGATAACTATTCTCAAGAAAATGAACTTGTTAACAAATGAATGAATGCATACAAGCTCAAACCATGGGTCCTGGCTCCATGCTCAAACTGTAACGAACAAGACAATGCAGGTCTAATTATGGGGTAATCCTATAAAATGGCACTGCCCAGCTCACAAGTGACAGTTAGTGAGTCAATCTGTCAGTGAGATCAGCACAAAGATGATAATAGTCTAGCCCCCTGGGGCAAGCAAAAACCATCCATCCAAAACAAAAATATGTTCTGCAAACAAACAACAACAACACAACAAAACAACAAAAGCAGAACTGCACACATTTTCTGCATCCCTGCATCCTTCCACAACCAAAACAAATATCAACATTCCATCAGCTAGATTCCCCAAAAATTCCAATCACAGTCCATGCCTAATTGGAGTTCCAGGTACCAGCATTACTACAAAAAGCCCTGCCAATTAACCCTACACCATACACCTGTCAAATGTCTAATTGCCTCATGTCAACCTTCCTTGCTCATTGATCAATGAGGTGTAACAAGAATGCAAGTGATTTGTGGTTTGGACAAGGGGAAACCACAACATGTACACAATAATAACAGTGCTGTGATTGACAACACACGGACAAGGTATCCCCTAACACCTTTGCCATGTTGGGCATCTGTGTTGTACCTCAGAGCAAGGACCCACTGCTTGTACTATATTATAAAGTGCTGTACTATCCAGCACCCCTGAGGACACAT